TCTCAATCAATGTTTATAAATCATTTAACAATGCTAACAAACTTAGTGATCCTATTGCTATAACATAAACATTGGATGTAGCTTAATAAGTCAAAACAAGAATAATCTAATCTGTAGGTTGAAATGTGGCATCTTCTCACATTTTCTTTACACCTAATTCATACATGCTTTCTATAAGCATAATATAGTCATGCAACTGTTTAATATACTCCTTTCTATTTTTGACCTATATTGGCAAGCATTATATATATTTTTTTAGTTAAGATTGATTTTTTGGCCACCTTCAAAAATCTAGAATCTTACTTTAAGCTATTAGGAGTTGTCTAAGGATTTTTATATGAGACAATTATAAATGTATCTTTGAGTCTAATCTAAATAAAAGATATTCCAATCCATCCATTAAGCCACTATTTATAACACAATTGTAGTATGACTATGTGACAAAAATGGTATTGAAAAATTAAAAAAATTCATAAAATTATGATATCTTAATTTTAAGTTCTTTCAAATACTTAACATGTAGATCTTACCGAGGACTTAAAAGTGGTGTATCAAAATTTGAGAATGGTTCTTCAAAAAGTAATAGTCTAATAATTACTTCTAATTTCTTCCATGCTTCTAACTCGGCTTTATACTTGCACTTAGGATAAACTATCACCATCAAAACTTCAACAAAATATAATATGAAAATATTTATTACTAGTCAATTAATTTTATTTTATTTTGATTATGTTAAGGTATCTCAAGTATGCTTACTTGACTTTTTAACACTTCCTTGGTAAGATTTATACTACACTAGCTATACTTCAAAGTATGTTTTTTTTTCTTGATATTTTTATCCTCTCTCTTAATCTTAGTAATTTATAAATATTGTTATGTATACTATATTAGTAATATTTAAATATTCTTTAGTTGTTTGATGAATCCTTTTTATTCTTTGAAGACCTTAGCTATGCTAAAAAGTTGTATGAAGGAGTTTTCAATATAGTACATTTTTTTATATTTTGATTATTTTTTTTGATTGTTTATTATCTTCTATTTTTAAAAATGATGATTTTGTTGATATTTTCAATTTAAACCATTGCATTAAGTATCTCAATCAATCTTTAGTCACATTTGGCTTTCCATGTAGTCTTAATCTCTATTCTATCAAACTTGTAAGCTTTTCTATTATTATCAAGTATCTTGATTATTAATAGCATATATATTTAAGACTTATTAGCAACATGCTTTCAACATATCATAGGATTGAAATATAATGATATACTTGCAAAGCCTCATCTTTAATAGTGTAGAATGAACATTTTGAAATCATTGGTATTAAGGTAAAACTAAAAGTACATGCAAGTATAAAATATGATAAATAAAGGTAGATGTGATTATTTTGTTTCATCTAGTATGAGATGAAATAGATAAAGATATCAAGGATTTTTTGTATACATTCTTTTTTATAATAATCTTTTTTATCATATTTTTTTATTGAAATAATTTTTTGTATGATGACTATTTTATAAATTTTAAAATAAAAAATATAATTGTATTATGCATTGTCTTCTTTGAAAATGCACTAGGCATCTAGCTACAAAAGGTGCAGTTATATTTTATAGGTATTCAAAAAATCTTAATAGGTTTCACCTATATAAGAAGAATGCAATTTAAATTTTAATTCAAAAGTGCTTAAAGTTAATACAAAGTACTCAAAAATACTCTTTTTAGTAACTTCAATCATACAAAAATTCTAATTACCTTATTACTTTCATAATTAAGTAATTTTGATTTCTCTTGGCAAGTCCTAATTCTAGTTAGTGAACTTCAGTAAGCTATAATTCCTAATTTGATTGTCCACTTGGTGTAAAATTTTGCATACAAATTCCACTGTAAGTCTTTTACATTCTTCAAAAAATTCAGCTCAATTTAACTTACAAATTATAAAAAAACCTCCAAAAAACTATACTAATGTCACTTAGTTGCCAATTCAATAAGTAATATAGATGTTTTAGTAGCAATTTCTCCTTCTTCAATTATTAATTTCAGCTCAAAATTGATATGTAGCTTGATCTTCAAGTCTTCTAATACCATGCCAAATTTCACCTTATTCCAATTATTAGATCTTTAGATATTATAGAAACTCTACCTGATCCCAAATTGCCAACTTTCAATACCTTCTTGTATCAATAACCGGAAATTTCTCAATTGTACCATTAAATTAATTAAAAAAATTATATACACTTAGCACATCTAATCGACTAAGTTTTTTTAAGTTTTGAACTATAGATGTGATACCATTTTCACAAACTAATCAAAAGTGCTAGCCTTAATTGTATTGCATAAATCTAAAGTCACCAATACAAATCTTGATTTTGAACAATAATTGCAAAGTTATTTTAAAACTTATGAAAACAAGCTTTATGCCTTTGAAACAAGCTTAAAGCTAGCTCTCCAATTCTAGTTGCTAATTTCCAAAATTCTCCATACTTAGCTCTAGATAATCATTTTAGTAGCTAGGGATCTTATTTTGATCTTATCCTACAAACTATCAATCCTTTGATATTAATCCAGCCTATCATGGGAATGTTTTAGCTCGACCCTACCTTCAACTTAATCCTAATATTAGGAATAATAATTATTTATCTCTTTTATTCTATTTTTACTAATTTATAGTCTTTTTTAAGTAATAAAAGGATTTCTACAATCTAAAAGGTAAAATTACTAACCAACCTTTAATCTACTAGCTATTAAGACAAGAAAATAAACTAAAATATTTTTATAAAAGTTATATTTAAATACCTTGAATTATTATTAAACCAAGATGATTAGATATTAATTAGAAATTTATTTTTGATCATATTTTTATAATATAGTCATGTTTTAATACAACAACGTCAAAGATCTTCATTTGAAATGCTTCTTCTATCCAAATGTGAATACACTATATTGGAGGGCCTTCTCCAAAGTATTTAATCTTTTGCATATTTTTAAGGCTATGCAGTGGTGAAAAAGCCATCAATAAATAAAGTCGAAGTTTATTTGAACTGCAACCATAGTAATCAATATATTGATAAATCAACAACTAAGTAAAGATTTTGATACATACGTCTTTGTAATTATTCATTTGATTTATATGCTAAGAAATATAAATATGGTCTTTAGCAATTTATTGTTTGAAATTCTATTCACAATCATCCACCTTCTTTAAATATGGCAACACATTCTATAATAAGATATTTATCTTTTAGGATACAACAACATGTGCAACAACTTTACTTTACAGAGATTAAGCCTACTACAATTTTAATTGCTATTTGGTAAGAAGAGCCTAAAATTATGGCAACATCTTCAACTATTTATAATCAATAGAGAGCCATGCAAAATTAATTGTTATAAGGATGTATATCTATTGTAGCTTTTTTAGACAAAATAAAGGGATCACATTTTCAACATGAAAATTATTATGATGAAAGCAATGCTATAACTCAATTATTCTTTTTTCATCTTCTTTTAGTGGAACTTATATGAAAGTATCCTTATGTTCTCTTATTAGATTATACATACAAGTTTAACAAATTTTGAATGCCATTCCTTCATATTGTAGATGTGACTTCTTTGAATTCCACATTCTTATAATATTTTATGTTTTTGAAAGAAGAGAAGGAAATAGACTATGTTTGAATATTAGAGATGGTTAAATCAATCTTTGATAATGGAATGACACTACTTACATTAGTGACTAATAGAAAAATAGCAACTTTGATTGTAATTAAATAAGTTTTTCCTATATTAACTAACTTTCTTTGTGTTTGACATATTAACAAGAATATTTTTACAAATTATAAGCAAAGATTCTTTATCAATGAATGAACAAACTTTATACAATATTGAAATCAAGTTGTTGGTGGTCGTATAATTTATCTTTTTTAATTCAGTTGGTAAATACTTAAATAAGTTTATACTAGATTTTTTATTGTTGTTGGTTATATAATAATAACTTAATTGCCTTGAAAGAAGAAAATTGTTGCTACCTAATATGATGTCAAGCTTAAACAACTGCTAATATTAAAGGTAGTCAAAGATGTGAGGTTGCCCAATTCATTTGATAATGATGTCAAGCTTGAATATCAACTTATATCAAATTTAGTCAAAGATTTAAGGTTGCCCAATTCATTTGGTAATGATGTCAAGCTTGAGCACCAACTTATATCAAATTCAGTCAAAGATGTGAGGTTGCTCAATTTATTTGGTAATGATGTCAAGCTTGAGCACCAACTTGTTTCAAATTTAGTCAAAGATTTAAGGTTGCCCAATTCATTTGGCAATGATGTCAAGCTTGAACAACCACTAATATTAAAGGTAGTCAAAGATGAGAGGTTGCCCAATTCATTTGATAATGATGTCAAGCTTGAGCACCAACTTATATCAAATTTAGTCAAAGATTTAAGGTTGCCCAATTCATTTGGTAATGATGTCAAGCTTGAGCACCAACTTATATCAAATTCAGTCAAAGATGTGAGGTTGCCCAATTCATTTGGCAATGATGTCAAGCTTGAACAACCGCTAATATTAAAGGTAGTCAAAGATGTGAGGTTGTCCAATTCATTTGGCAATGTTGTCAAGCTTGAGCAACTACTTATATCCATGTTTTTCAAATAGAAAAGCCTTCATGTTGATATTGATAAAGAACATAATTTTTTGACAATATTGTAAATTAAGTATCTTTAAAGAAGACATACCCCAAATCATTTGGTAGCATGATTAAGTTAGAGCATCCTTTTAAGTCAAGTTCCAATAATGTAGCAATTTTAAAGAATGAATTTAGAAATGTTTCTATAAACAAATAATTTCTCAATTGCAAGACATTTAACCACTCAAACTTTTTTCAAACATCTATTTCGTGTAGCATTTGCAATGCTTCGTCTATTAATTCTCTTGATAAGTTATATTTCCATTGAATATTTAATAAAAAATATTTTAAACTAAAAGAATGTTTAATCAATACAAAAAAATACTTAATATCCTTATAACATTATTAGGTGTAAAATCACCAATATTACAACTTAAAAATTGAAGTGATGAAAAAGAATCACTTCTTATTTCACTTATACTATTGTTGTTTATGTTGTTGTAAAACAATCCCTCCACCTAAAAACAACACAATCAAATACACAATTAGATTACAATTTCCACATTAATTATACATTTAATATACATGCAAATCTATTTACAATACAAGTTTCATATGTTTGCAAAATAACTTTGCATCAATATAAATCTAAAATACATAATATAAATAACATAATATATAAGTAAAAAACCTCCAACTTTTGATTGTTGATTCCTTTTTAATACTATTATCAATTTCATACATGCCATTTGGATAATAGTTTCGTAAAATTACCTTGTTTGATAATCCATGAAATGGATCTACATTCAAATTCCACATTCCTGTGTATTAATACTCCATTTCTTTCTCAACAATGTTTCTACCCATGTCTTGTAGTTGATCATGTATTCTTATAGTTCCATCTTTGTCTACATTTACTAATGATTGGTAAGTCAATGTATCTAACATAAATTCTACATCTTGTTCAAATATATTTTTTTGACTATTGGCCCACATTCGCAATGCTCTTTCTTTCGACATGCCTTGTGGACACACATCACTACTAAAAAAACATATGTCCAAAAATATTTTCTTCTCTTCATCTTTCAAATTGTCAAAGCTTACTCTTAATATCTTCCAAATCTTGTAGTTACTATTGTTCTCATCTCCATCCAACTCTCTTCCCCTTTTCAACTTTTATAGAGCTCGCTTCCAACATCTCAATCTCTTATTCTCTCTCAAAAATGCTCCCATAACTTTCAGACTCAATGGTAGACCATTGCAAGCTCTTACAATCTTTTCACCAACTTCAACTAGTTCATTTGGCAAATTTTCTTGGCCACAAAAATGAGTGATAAATAACTTCATACTTGTTTCTTCATCAAGTTCTTCAATATTTATTATACAAACTTCTTCACCACAATGCTCTATTACTTTTGAATCTCGAGTGGTTGCAACCAATGTACTACCATTGCTAGCAAATATATCCTCCATAAGCACAACATCTCCAATTTGGCTTTGATTCTTCACATTCTCAAAGACCAAGATGGTTTTGTTTTCTATCAAGAATGATTTCAACATTCTATGAGCTTCTTTGATATCATTTGGTTTTAATTTGACTTTGAATTGTTCTAAAATATTGCAAGAAGTTGTGAAGCAATCAACTCCATTTTCAATGCACTCAACAAAGCATGATGCATCATACATGTCTATTACATCGGCCAATATAGTCTTCGCTATTGTGGTCTTCCCTATTCCACCCATACCAACAAGACATAATGCCTTCACTTTATTTGCACATTGTTGTTTTATTTGAGATAAACATTGTATTCTACCAAATATTTCTTCATTGCATAAATCAACCTACAATTACAAATTCAATCATTTATTAACCAAAGAATAATAATAATAATAATAATAATAACAATAATAATATTTATATTATATCTAGTCTAATTTTACCAACTTAAGTTCATGACAAGACATCTAGCCATTACTATAAGTATACAAGAGTGTGTGCCAATACAAAATACAATCAATCTAATAAATTTGATACATACTTTCTATAGCTTTTCATATAAGTCTTACCATTGGAAATTTTTTAGGTGTTTGTAGAAATTCTTCATTTTGATAGTAGTTGTTCTTTGATACTCCAAAATATGGTGCATTTGGCACATTCATTCCAACTAAAAACTTGCATTTTAATATGTCCAATCTTTCACAAATGCTTGCAAACTTTGGTCGATGCAAAGGATTCAACCTCCAACATTCTTTGATAAGCTTTATCAAGTCATCACAATTTGAAGGTAACTTTGGTCTTTCATCTTTTTCAATTCTTTCTAATATTCTTTTTATGTCACAAACATCATGAAATGGATCTTTCTTTGAAAGAATCTTAGAACATATCATTGCAAATGAGTAAACATGAGCTTCAAAAGGACACATTGTCATTGTTTGAAATCTATTTTTTAGTGCCTCTGGAGCTGTATATTTAGGACTACCATAAATGTAATTATTCTCTGTGGCTTTTGAATTTCTTCCAACTTCAATCTTGGACATTCCAAAGTCAATCACTTTTACAATAGCATATCAAGTAATTTTATTCTTAATCATTGATTCCACAATATTAACCAAAATATTCTCAGGCTTTAGACCACGATGTGCAATGTGCATGTCATGCAAGTAATACATTCCTTTTGCAATTTGATGCATGATGTCAATAAGAAAAATATAAGATACTTCTTTCTCTTCTTCCAACATATTGCTCAAATTGTTATGCATCAATTCCATTCCAATATATAAATATTCATTTTTGTCTTTTGTTTCAAAAGATTCAACTCTTCCATTAGCACTACCTTTCATTGCAAAATAATATGTTATCAAATTTGGATGGCTTACACTTGCTAGAATATTCACTTCTTTGATGAACAACTTATCAAATGCAACATCCATTTTTTTAGTTGCACACAAAAGTCCCAACCACTTGGATTTATAAACTTCTCCAAAAGATCCAGATTTTTCCTTCACACATCATAAGATTTCAAGACTTTTCATATCTGTTGTAAAATTCAAAGAATCTAATTTTCCTATCTCTATGTGATACAAGTCTTCAAACCTTTGTAATAGATGCTTTGCTAATGCATGATATTCAAAATCTTCTTCTTTACATGCATGGATCAATCTCTCATATAAAAATATAATATCTTCTATTTCTTGACATGTTGCAACATCAAAAGTATCAAATATCATGTCTTCAAATTTGTAGGAATAATGCTTTAAAAGCATATCACTTGAAAATATCACAACATTTTAAATCTAGTATTAGTTCTCTAAAAGTCTCTTTGTTATTCAATTGGAATATAGCTTCTTCACACCAATTTGATTTTCCACACTTCTTCATTAAAGAGTAAGATTTATTCAATGTAAAAAACAGCTCACTTAATAGAAGTCCAAACTCCAATTTATCATTAGTGCAAATCAAATGGTGGTCGAAAACCTTTGTAACATTCTCAATTTTCTTGCACAAATTAATACATTGGTTTTTGTTCAACATATTTTTTTTCATCAGTAAAATCTTGAATGCTCTAATATAGAATCTAGAACCTTCCCAAGTATCTCCACAAATACCTTGCATGTTTGATTTTTCTTCATATTGTTCCATGGGGCTTGAAGATCTTGACATATATAGACCATGTAAATAGCTCCAAACCATATATATACATTTCTTGAATAATTCCAAAACATATCCCATCTTGATTTAGTAACCTAACAAAATCAATTTTACCTTCTCACTAAAAAATTATATCTCACAATTATTTAGAATTTCAAAAAATCTTATCAAACTCTTTTATTTTAATTGTTCCACGAACCATATCATTTTTCATCCTACAAAATGAATCTATACTTCTAAAACTAAGCCATCATTTTATTTATGTACATGTTTTAGTAAGCTCATTTCAACCTACAATTTTAATGTAAAAATAATTAATCTTAAGTCAAAAATCAAGACCTTAAATTAGTTCCCCTTAAAGAAGTCTACCTAGAAACTTTTACACACAATTGCAATAATCTATCAACAAGATGCAAAGTTCAAACATTTAAAATATCTACGTAACAAAATACACAAGTCACTTTGGAGAACTTTTGTCATAGACGATACCGAAAGAGGCTGTTAAATTGCAGCTCAACGATCTGTCGCCAAGGCAAGGATGACAAGCAAGATTGCCGTTTCTCAATCAGGTTCTAAGAAAATCACATCTCATCGTTCAGATTGTCCGCAAATGATCCACCACCACTCGCTCACCGCCGCTTCTCAAATACACATGCACCAGGCGTTGAAGAATACAACAATAACACAACAAAGTACACAACTCACTCTCCAGAACTTTGGTCATAGACGATACCGAAAGAGGCTGTTAAATTGCAGTTCATCGATCTGCCGCCAAGGCAAGGATGACAAGTAAGATTGCCGTTTCTCAATCAGGTTTTAAGAAAATCACATTTCATCGTTCAGATTGTCCGCAAATGATCCACCACCACTCGCTCAGCGCCGCTTCTCAAACACACATGCACCAGGCGTTGAAAAATACAACAAAACCTCGAGCGCCTCAAGTGCTCTTCACCAAAAAGCACTTCGCGACTTCCATTCAAGGCAGACTGAACCCTCTCCGGCACAGGAAACGGATCAGTCGTGCAGACACGAAATCACCTTCCACACAACGCTCATGCTCCTCAAACCACGGGGGCTTGACACTACAGCCCGACAGGACACCCACAGGGGGAATAAACTAATACAGGTTACAGGGGCACAAAATCAATGGTTTAAGGCTATCCCACACTGAAGACTGAAAGGAGAAGTGAGGTATCTCAACAATCATGATACGCGTGGGAACACCGAAAGCCACGCAACGCAATATGCAAGCCCCTCGAAACCTAATACATACCCTAACGCATACCCTGATGCAGCAACCACTGTGAACCTTACAACGAACCAAAACTCTGCAACCTCCGACAGTGCCAAGCCACGTATTGGTGAATCTCTCTCCTCTGACGTAAAGCTCCTACAGAGAAATTTACCTCCGCCCCTGAACACCGCGCAGTGCCACAAGCTACGGCGGCCACCACCAAACCCCTGGAACATCGACAAATCCTAAATAGTGCGGAGAAGCGCAATCCCCTCTGGACTCAAAGGCCCGCTGCAAGTTCCACTAGGCTCCAAATAACCGGACTGGTGCCCCTGGAGGACCGTTCCGTGGAACATACCTCCCGTGGATGAGAACTCGTGGATAGGTCTGCAGAACGATGGATGTAGTCGACCCCTCATCCTCCGCTGCGCATGTTTCCGACCCCATCCTTCAAACCACACAGTGCCTCGTTGTCGTGTGTCTTTGGGACCCTGCTCGGGAACGTTGGAGAACTTTGGGAAACGTCGGACCACTCATATTTGCCAAGTCAATTTTGTCCTAGCTTACATTTCTTGCTTTGAACGATAATTGTGGAATTATTAAAGTTTAAATAACAAATTTGATAATATTTATCAAATAACCTCAAATACTAGTCACCTTGACTAACTAGAAACCATTCTCTAGAATGAGATTTGAATTCTTATTGATTTTTTGAAAAGAAATTTGAATATAGTTTTGAGCATTTTATGTTTATTATTTTATTTATTTATTTTCTGTTTTAATATAGATGTATGGTTTCTAAATCTATTGAATAACCATATATATATATATATATATATACATATATATACATATATATATTTACATATTATTTTTACTATTATTATCATCCTTTCTACAATTTCTTTTTCTTTTCCTTGACATTTAATTTGGTTCCATCCCTATACAATATTTGGTAACTATTCACAAGTCTAAATAATAAGACCTTTTGTTTTTGTATTAAATCAACTTACTACTATTTAATACTTATTTTTTTATAAATCTACAATATCATCATTCAATTAACAATCTAAACTATAATCATATTAGTATATATATACTATATGAAATTAAAATTAAAATATTATAAAAAAAAATAAATCACAATATTTGATCGATTTAATTAATTTATTTCATTCAAATAAAAAAAATCTTATTATTTATATATATATATATATATATATACACACACACACATATTATTTTATAATTATTACATATTTTTATATAAAAATATAAATTTAAAATAAACATGCATGATAATACCATTTTTAGATAAAATAAATCATACAAGTAATTACTATGATATATGCATGTATAATTTATACAATATAGCTTTTATATTTTAAAAGACATATTTGGTACTTATGATGTATTTATAATGTATATTGAATATTATTTTATTGACAAAGATATGCAAATTGGATTAATAAAAATAATTATTATTATAATATATATATATATATATATATATATATATATATATTATTTAAATATGATTTGAATAAAAAAACATACAATTTTTATCATAATACATTAGTCACTTAATATTTCATTAATATACACAAGTGTAGATTTTATTAAAAATATTATAAAAATAAATAAATAATTTATATATAAAAGTATGTAAGATTAAAATAATGAATATTTTAAGTATTATAAATAAAAAAACTCTATTTAATAAAATAGCTTAATTATATTAGATTCTTATTCAACATCTACTTGAAACTAAGTCTATTTTCTTTTAATACAATATACTTTCAATTTATAATCAATACATTAGCCTACTTACTTTGTCACTTCTAGTAACAAAAAAAATTACAAAATAAAACACTTCAAAATAGTAGTCATTTAGATCTAAAGAAATTAATCTCATAAACTTGTCATTACACTACAATCTATCCAATTCACCACTCACTTAGTACACCTTCTTAATTTAAATGGGCTCACACAATTATCTATTTTTTGGAAAAAGTATGGAAGGTACAACAATCTTTGTTGACTACTCTAACAATACATCTACTTGCACCAACAACAATAATGAACAAAATCTAAATTATCAATTTTTCCACAATTAAACAAACCATCTGACTTTGCAATTGAAGCTAAGATGCAAATGATTACCATCAAATGCATGCAAATCAAGCTTTTGTTGATTCAAACCTTCCTTAAAATCTTATTATGATCTCAACTATTAGATCAACTCAACCATAGAGATGTTGTTCTCAAATACTTGTACTCAAGCTTCAATAAATGTAATCTACTACTCCTATAGTATACCACTTTGTAGTCTGATTTGATTTACATTATTGTCTAACTTTTTTAGAAAGTTAACTAGGCACAACAATCTTTGTCAATTACTTTAGCAATATTGCTATTTGTACCACTGAGAACAATGTTGCAGAATGTAGGCATGCATAAAAGAGAAAAGACACATATCTTTCAACAATTACTAAGCAAGCCAAGTAACTATAGTTGTGGAAAGGTGATGCTATGCTTGCTTAGATCTAATCATGCTAGGATGAAAATAATACTAATTGGTGGTCACCATCTACAATACAAATGAAATATTGACAAAAACATCTACTATATTGGTGTGGAAACAAGTAGTTGTTATACGTATCCATCATTGCACTGGAATTCTAGTCCTTGTTGCATCTATGGAATTGCTTCATGATGTTAGTTGTTGAAATAGCCATGTACACCACATTGTAAACAATTCCAAAATTGCATGTGATGATGAAGATCTTGTCAAAAAACAAATCCAAATTCAACCCACATAAAAATCAATACCAATTGTATTCTTCACAATACAACTTTAAAACATAGACTTGATTCCGGATGTAAAAATACCACAAATAAAACTTTGCACCCCAATGCAGTATTTTTAGAACACTTTCTCATCATAGCAACAAAAAATACATCAAGTGATGAAGTTACATGTAAAAAACTTATCAATGAATTGAATAGTAAGGATTTTATTTTAATATTCATAAAATTTTATATATTAAAATAATATTGGTAGTAAAAGGTGTCATATATAACTTTTTATTTATAATTAATTTTTTAAAGCTATAATTTCTACATAAAATACTTACATCATATTATAATAGATAAAAAATTGGATATTTATGCTAATAATAATTTGATATTAGTCTAATATTTTTCTTAACATCATTATAATTAAATCATAATTCATCTAAAAATTTAATGATATTGGCTATAATTTCTATTATTATTATATATTTTATCTATATTAAAAAATTATTTTTTATTAGACTATATGTATTTTTAAAATTAAAATTCATAATATTAATTAATTTTTATTTTAAAAATTTATCAAATATTTGAACTCTAATAAATAATATAAATTTGGCTTGTGTTTAGATGTTATATTTCTTATAATTTTATTTTTTACAAGATAATGGAAAAGATAAGAACTAGAAAGAACTTCTAAATGTCATTTTTATGGTTTTTTATCTTATATTTTATATAAATATATGAATCAAATTTATATCCTAAAAAAATATATTTATTATAAATTATATATTTCATTTATTTTTTAAAAAATAAAGATGGTAAATTCAAGAAAATATAATTATTATAATTAGAGCATGCATTGGCAAGATCTTCTAAAATGTCACGGTTGTGATGCCAAAACATCCAAGAATGACATGTGTTTGTTCCTATGATGGTTAATTGTGCCAAATTGTTCTTTATCATTTTGATCAACTCAAATGAGGTGCCTTTGTATTGAGCATCAGTTCCTTCTTTAACATCGTTTCTTCTATAGTTGTAATATCTAATAATATTTAGGCATACAAACTCTAACTTCAAGAAACTACACTTCAAATTTCCACTTCTTCCAAACTACATTTTGCAAGTCTAGATTTTAAAATTAAGAACCCATCTTATAAGTTGTCCTAAAAATAATAATAATATAATGTATTTGATTTATTTTATTTGATTTTAAAATTAAGAACCCATCTTATAATATATTTGATTTAGTTTTGTCTTATTTAAATGGGCAAGCTCAAAATACTCTCAATCCACCTTATTTAAGCTCTAGGATTATGTACATGGAATCAATCTTTATTCCTTTGATTTGTATAATTTTCTTATAAAATAAATAAATACAAAAATAAATAAATAAACTTTATAAATAATGGTAAATAAATTCTTGTACACAAAAGAACTATACATGTTTAATTGTAAATGTTCTGAATGTTGATTTAATTGTATTATTTAATAGAATGAAGACAAATATAAATCTTGTATGATTAAATGTGGTGTATATATTCTTCATTGTTGGTCACCATGCTAATGTCAATCTCTCAATGTATAAAATAAATAAATAAATTATAAATTTATAATTCAATCTTACATTTATAATAATACTTTTTTTTCCTAAACATCTATTTCTCAACATTGTATTATATAATTTATTTTAATCTTTGAAAGTGAAGAGGATGTTTTTATAACATTTAGGAGATAAAAAAAATTATAAAACGAATTGCTAATAATATTGTAACTTGCTTTTAGTAGATTGCAAAGATAATAATGATTTTAAACATGCACTATTAGAATCAAAGCTATGCTTTTCATTAATGCCTTTTTTCCTATATTATTTATTACTTTACAACTACTCATGTGATTTGCAATTAAGCTCTTCATTCTCTCCTATGCAATCCTCATAATTCTGCAATTGTTGTGTTTTATGGTTGTGCCTATTCTTAGATTGTTGCAATGTTTATGTACAAAGACCAATCTGTAGATTGTTGCATATTTTTTGAATTCCTTTTTTGTTTGTACTTTTAGTGATTAAATATTTTTACACATAATAATATTTAATGAAAGGAATGCATTATAGAGTAAATTTAAAAATTATTGCACCTATGCAAAACAATGAAAACATATTAGTTGTGATTATATAGAAATTAAATCCTTAGTTGCATGCTATGAAACCAATACCACTTCTTTTCTTTCTTTTTTATTAATTTCTAGTGTGTTTGAATCTTAAATAGATTATTTAGATTTTTTTTCTTAAAAAATATTTAATATTTTAAATTAAAAAATTAAAAATATAAAAATATTATAAAATAATGAGACAATGTTTTAAAATAAAAAACTTTACTTTAATGCTTGCAAACAAATTTTAAACCACAAATCATTTTATCAAATTGATAAATCATTTGCAACAAAATTTACAGACATAGTATTGTGGTAAAAAAATTAAAATCATTTCTAAACTATGAATTATTTGGTCCATTGATGTCTAACAATGCATAATTTTATATATTAGACATTATTGATTGTCATTATAGTAAACTTTATAAATCAACTAATTTTTGTGTCATCTTACAAGAAATCTTGTTCCATATATATTATTTTAAATATTTTATTTTATTGTTCAAGAATATTTTAGTATTTATTATAAATATGATTTAAATTTTATATAATATATTTTAGTATTATTGGAATAAAAATAAATAATGATAATTAAAAATTGATCATATTTATTATTTATTTATTTAAAAAATATATATTTTTTTATAAAACATTTACTTTTCAAAGAACATATCAAATATCATAGACTAGTATTAAAATTGATTATTTTTAATAATTTAATTTCTATAAAATCTATTAAATGACTCTTATAAAAAAAATAATCTACCAAAAAGCTCTATCTTAATGCTATTAGAACCACTATTATTTTTATTTAGATTGTAATTGAATATCATCAAGATTTTTAAAATTATAATAAATACTTATTTTGTGTTTGTTAAGAATTTTAGAGTTGATCAAGACAACTTGCAAATAATTTATAATAAAGCTTTTTAAAAAAGTTTCAGCATATGTTGTTTGTAAATTTTACTAATGTAATCAATGCATTTGTGCATCTAAAATTTCTTATTATGTTCAAAATGTATAAATAATCTTTAAAACATAATTTTCTATTATATTTTTTTTTGAATTAGCTTCTAAAATATCTATTACAGTGTGGAATTTAACTATGAGTAGCTAGTTTTAAAATCTCAAATTTAGTAATATGATATTATTATTGATTGTTGTACTGAGAGTAGCACCATAAACACTCATTTTTTATCTCTACAAAAAGTAAAATAAAATAAAATAACTTAATTTAAAAAATTCAATTATGAAATTGATATTAATAATGAATATAATCTAAATAACAATAATGATATTAGGACTTTTAATTGATCTCTTACCAACTCCAATCCTTTATTTAGAAATTTAATCATCATCTTGTATTAAATATGATCCAATTTCTTAATAGAACTAAAATTTAACAACTACAAAATAAAAACCAAGCCTAAATATTAGTAACAATAAACTTAGTTCTTTGTTTTTATCTTCATTACTTCCATTACAGTCTTCATTTTTATTTTCTTTTTGTTTTCTTTTATAGCACTTCAGACATTTCAGACAAAAAATAAATTAGAGGCTCTTAGCTAGTAACAACGTATTTGCGATTTCAGGTGAACACTTTATTTTGCAATTTCTAACTCTTGTCCAAATATATTTCTATCTCAAGATTATTCACTGATAATCTTAGTTACTGGAGTCCAAAAGGTGCTGCAATATCCTCTTAACAAACCCAATCCATGCCTTGCGTTTCAAATGCTGGTGTACACCACACTGATTGATTTGGGATGTGCAGAAAAATACACAATAATTGCTGTTACTCAAGCAGTCCTACCAGGGCTTAGAGATCAGTTTAGCCCAAATGTTTTCAAACGTAACTAATCGTCTTGCAATCAAAAAGGTCTACGATGGAATCATCAATACAATCAGATGACAAATGCTAGCAACAGCTTACTGGTTCACAGCCTTCCTGATATGTTTCAGGTAAGAGCCACTCTTCATATCAATGGAATACAATGGCTTCTACGATTGTGAGCCTGTTACCAAGCCTCGTGGTAAGTTGAATGATAAACCATTGATAGTCATTACGATATCTACAGGATTCTAAAGACGGCACTGTTTATGATACAAGGTACGGAATATTCCTATTGATGACGCTTCACCCAAGCAGCTGCCAGGCGCTTATAGAGATTTTAAGCACGACTGTTCAAATCCATAGCTTGGATGACCTTCAACCTGGTGTGATTCTCCCCGATAAGGAAGATTTTAAGGCTGCATCATATGTGCTCTTCGTCAGTCAACAGATACGCTCTGCCACTCTGACTAATAAAAGAACGTTGACACCGTACTACATCGCAAGGAACTACAGTGGAGCAACACAGAATCGATAACAAGTGACGACACTGTATACAAGTCCGGAAGAGTAGGACGGATGAGCTGTACAGATCATCCCAAATGTGCCTACACTTGACCACACGGACCAGAACTCAAATCGATTTAATCTAACCATCTTTCAAAATACAAATGATTGTTCTTCATTCACTGTACACATTTCACTCACTACGCCTCGACTATGCAAAGTCGGGCTTAAAACTTTGACGATTAGATCTTGCAACGAGATGTAACGTTGCAGATTACTAAACTGTCGGCCCTGATAAATCTATGGAAATGGTTGAAGCGCACAGCAATTCTGGTACACAAAATATCATCTAATCTCCTGTGCCTCGGAAGGTTTTCTATCTACTTTTCTCCTTCATTTCTCTGTATTTTCTTTTTTTCTTTTCTTTTTTTTTCTTTTTTTTGTTTGGTCTTTCCCCCCCACAAGTAAAAGCTATTTTGAATGCACAGAAAAAATTACGGATATCAACAATACATGGGGTTCGCGAACAACACACGCCACGATACGAACTTACCCTTAATTACCTCCAGGAAGTTGAGGACCCGGCACCAACTGCTACTCTTCTGTTGCCTATAATAACAATAGGACAAGTTTCTTTAAGGTCTATAGCAAAACAAGGTAACTCTAAGAGAATCTGTGAAAACAGAAAAATATATTGACAAAAAAATGGCCTGACAATGAACCAAGATTAGCGTAGACTATGATAACTAAGATTTGTCATAACTATAACATAGGACTTGCGACAGATAAGAACAACATACCATTCAATTCAAAATCCGAGTTAGAAACTGCTCCAATAGATGCATTCCGCTTGGACACAAGTTTCTCAGTCGATGATGAGATCCCCACATTTGTGTGTCGGCGGGGTCGTATATGCAATGGTGCTCCAACAGGCTTACGCTCCATCGTTGATGAAGTTTTCCGTGTGCTACTGATCGGAGGACGAGGAACTTGAGTCTGTGTTAAAGCTCTGCAAAGCACAAACATAGAAAGATGACGCAATAAAAACAACCATTAACTGATGCACTAAAATTATAACCAAGGTAGCGAAGAGACAGCAAGCAAGAGCAAGGCACGAGCAATAAAATATGACACTGAAATCTCAACTGAGGTAAGCTAGCATAGTAATAAAAAGAAGCAAACCCTACGATAGGGTATACTTCCTTTGCAGCCATAGCTATTAGAAAGTAAATACTAAAATGGAACTGTACAAGAAAACCATACCTTCTGTCATTGCGAACCTGCGCATGGCCTGACTGGACCTTCTTATTTTGGTCCAAGTGGGTAGGTGAGGATAGGTCAGCTTCCACAGATAGACCACTCTCTGAGAACAAGCTTGAACTATCATCGCATCCATCCCGGAGGTCAAAAATTCCATCACTTTCAAACTGCTCTTCCAGACCTGCATCATTCGACACATATGAACCTTTTTTTTTTATTGATCACCCACTTAATTTTGTGTTGATCCAAAACACCCGCATTTGTGCTGAAAATTTACAAAAAACCAATCATATCGAAACCACGAGAAGCAACATGAAAAGGAGGGTTAACGCTGAGATATACCCTGCAACGACCGCTGACTGGAACACACTGAGCGTATGCCTTCAAAATCTCCATTTCCTTCATAAAAGGAGCCACCATTAGCATGAATTCGTTGATTTTCCACTTCTAGCGAGAGGTTTCCACTGTTTTCGGCACCTTGTTGAGATCCAACTGGCAATTCTCTAGCCAATACTTCCTTTCCCAAGCAGGACGAACTTGAGTCAGCGTTGTTTGCGAGAATTGTTTCAAGGTGCTTACTTCCTTCTGAAGCTTTCAGCTGCCCGTTATCAATGTCTCTTGCACCGCGAATCGGAGAAGTCCAACTACCAACCCCAGTTCCAGAGCCATTCCGCTGATGTTTCACGAATTTAAGCTTCTCATTTATAGTGTTCACTCCATCTTCCATGACATCGAACAAGCTCAGGCCTTGCTCTGTAGGAGAACTCGTTGGAGAGCATACTGAAGAGGACAATAATAGCTCCGCTGGAACTTCAGAATCATGGCAGAATCCAGCACTTTCACGAAGAGGGGACTTTGGTTGACTAGGTAACTTACGCGTAATGGGCCGAGACTGCAAAAGGTAGGTGAGTGGTACGAAAATTTTAGAATATCAACTCAAAAGAAATTAATCTGAAGACTTTGTGCCGACTCTATACGACAGTGAGGAAAAACTTGGTAAACAATAACCAACCTGGAATTGATTTTGAACTCAAGTCCACAGTAAGAGAAACATCAAGGCTTAGCTTTTATCATCTTCCATTTAAAAATTTGTCACCTGGTTCCATTGTATTTTTTTAGTCTTCAGTAACATCCTCTACTTACGTTAGTTCTTTAAGCTCTTCATTACAAATTTCTCTACAAAATTTAACATACCTCCATGGTCCCACTTCCATTTTCATTCTGCGCCGTCCTCAGTTTAAGAGCAACAGATATATCAGTGCTCGGACGGACACGGGCAGATGATTTTAGTGACCTGGACCTCAACTTCTCCGTGCCTACACCACTTTCACCTCTCTCACATCGTTCTTTGAAAGCTTGAAGTTGCGCAATTTCAGCATCTTTCTTTGCAGCAGCTTCTTTAAGCAGAGCGACCTTGACGATCAAGCAGAACTTAAAAGGGTTAGAAGGCTAGCAATCGTAACTAGTCAAATTGAATATACGTTTACTAACCCTTGTCTTGTCAGATAATGTTGTTATCGGATAGATGCAAACAGGTATCCGAGAAAAATCTTTCAAGATGTGAGTAAAAAAGATACATCGTCACACATCAGATATGCTCCTCAATGTGTCAAAAGAAGAAGGCACTGTTAGAAAATTACGAAGCTGCATACAGCACTATCAACAAATGAAGACACACATCTAAGACAATAGGGGAGCCAAAAATACGTCCCCAAGAGCTAAGACTCCGAACTGTACCTGCTCTCTAAGATTTTGAATTTCTCCACTTTCCTTGTTACTACGAGCAGCTCCAAGCTCCACAGTTGAAACTCTTTCAGCGAACTTTAATGTGCTAACAGTCTCTCCAAAGGACTCCACATCTGGACTTATGTGTACAAACATCAATGTCTTCGCTTGACCACCTGCATAAGAATGATGAACAAAAAACAATCACACGGTGCTAAATAACCATTGTAATAACCATTGAAATAACCAACACATGAAAGGACTAGAACTAATGCTGTTATACATTGCAAATAATAACAGAAAATACCCGGAGTCAAAGTGTGGACAATCATTAACATCTCTATCTTCCAATACCTAATGAATCCTGCAGAAGCTGTGTAAGCTTGCTGTTCCTGTAAGGCACATGGCCATTCTTTTGTGCCAATGCAGCTATAACATCGCCCAGGGCTGAGAGAGATTTGTTGATATGTTGAGCTTCCTTCAATCTATCACCCGTAGCTTCAGACCGGTCTACTCGTTCACTTCCAGCGAGATCAACTAGATGGAGCGATCCCCTCAGAACAGCTCCAGATTCCAGATCAGTGCCATGCACATGCACTGTCAGAACACTGCACACAAAATAAAGTTGCGTCTTAATATTTACTTCCAATCTGCTTAGAATTGTCTTTAAGACTGCCCTCCGAATCTTACATATGTGCATGATTCTCCTTTTAATATAATAACTAGAAACAAAACTGAGATGAATTTCATAAAAAAATTAGATTAAACTGAATAGAAACAAGCAAACCGTTCAGTCACAATTTAGCCTGTGTTCAACCAACATCAGGTAGGCAAGTAAATACGAAGTACATCAAGAAAATCTTGAAATGACTTATCACAAAGCAGAGTGACACAGATAATGACAACATGAAGAAAGATAAGAAGGAATGGTACCTATGAGATCTGCTACTGCGCTCATTAAGAGCTGTAGCACCAACTGCTCTATTCTTTTGACCAACTTTCATAAGGTCCAGCACATCCTCTGTTGACCGCACTGACATCCTACTGGCATCAGGAACATTCAGACCATTCAACTGAGAGTTGTTCCGAATCTCAAGCGTGCTTATAGTCAAGGCAAAAAGCACTGTAAATAATAGATTTGTTTCACAAAGGTACATTGTCTAATTCAGAAGAGCGAAGAAGAAGACAGAAAAAATGAAAGTCCGTGAAACTAGCTAAGATTCAAGCCCCAAGTTTATCAAAAGGATATTTCTTCTGAGCACCGTCTACAGATAAAAGATCCCGGACTTGTTCGTTGTAAATCTCAAGCATCTGCACTCCAATTTCATAGCGAAAAACATCTTGTCTGCTCTGAGTTATGTGGAACAAATCATGAAGGGCTCTATAATTAACCCCCCAATCGATTGATGTCATGTTGTTTGGACCACTCTGTTAACAAAACAAAGCGTTAGATTCCAAACATATAGGAAAGTTTGAATAGAACTCAGAGTACAGAACAAGGTGGAAGAGATTATTTTGCAAGCGCAACGAAGGCAAGATTAAAACACTGAGGAGAAAGGTCCACTATAAAACTATTACACTCTTAGTTAAATGAATCAACTTATATTTCAGCATCATGGAGTAAGTAGAAAATATTATGGAGAAACATGGTTATTTCATAAAAGCATAAGCAAGGAAAAAATGACCACAAGAAAAAAGTTAAAAAGTTGTAAAGCCATAAAAAAGTGTATCATAAAATTAAATTAAAAAGTAGAAAGGAAAAGAAAGACAAGAAAAGAGAAGATTACCATGGTGTAGGTCTTTCCAGATCCTGTTTGACCGTAGGCAAAGATGCATACATTGAATCCATCCAATACAGACCGAATCAATGGCTGGGTATCAAGGAAAACCTCCTCTGAACAAGGAAAATCAAATTATTAAAAGATCAATAAGTAATCCTCAGAACATTGAAGAGAAATGTCAAGAGGCTAACATTTCTAAATGCACGAACGCCATCAAGCTAGATCAAAATCATTGGGAGACAATGTGACTCAGACATACCAGGTAATCTACATAGGACACTACACACTCCACCAAGTATACTCAATACGCACTCTCCACGTTTGCAAATAGAACATACCTTGAGAAGCAGTAGGAGGAAAACATTTATTGAATGTGAAAGACTTTCGCGAGTCTTTGGCGCCAGGCTTCAGAGGGTTAACTAACATCAACTCTCCATTTTCTCCAATGTAGTCAAGTGTACTTAATCTCCCAGCTTCTTCTGCTAGGAAAGGTCTCACTCTGCAATAGACCCGGATGTTTCCTAAACACAGAATATACAGGAGTTACTTGCGAAGTTTTGAGTGGAAACAATAAATTGAGACTGAACGTAAAACACACAAGAAAATTTGAGTGGGTCAACGCAAAGTCACAGCATTGAACTATAGTTCACAGAGAAATTAAAATTTCATTGCGTAAAGACCTCAAAAAGTCTACATGATGGAGACAGAATAGCTCAACTTCATTTAAAACAACTATATCAAAAGCAATCCTTCAAAAAAATCATTTTATACTATTGTCATTGGTATTCTGCCAAATTGCCTCATCTACTAACTACGTACTTTTGATTAAGCAAGCAAATGCTAGCACTAGAAGCGCACCTTTCAGATCTTGCACTTCGTTGTAAAGCATTCGATTCTCGGCAAGTACTTTATGATATCCTGATGCAGCTCGAGCCATATTCTGAAGTTGTTCCTCTGCACCGTCACCGAAGTAGGATCAATAAAATCCAGACCAAGCACATATAATGCTGACAAGGACATTATCACGAAGGACCTACACTTGAAATCAAAATCATATTACAACCAAAAACAACTCCAACACCAAAGAAAACAAAAATGTACGATTTTCTTAGTGAATGCATTCTTTCTTTTGAGATAGATCATAATTGTTTTGTAGAATTTTGAGACTTTCCTTAGAATTTTTTTCTTCTATCCCATAGTTAAATATTTAATCCGTAAAAAATTTATACAAAACTATCCGATTAAAAACTCTATACCTAGCATAATGAACTGATTTTTCCAATCCGTCTGCATATTCAAAACCTCATCCTTGGTATTCAGTTGAGCCAGCCTAAGATCCTGCGAACAACATATTTCACTTAGAAATGAGAACTTACAGATAATGGTAAATTCTAAACTCTTAGACAACTCGTCGGACATCAATATCAGATGAGGTAAGAAGCACAAATTAATGTACTCGGTTCCTAAATCAGTAGTTGCGAATCAAGGCAGAAGGACAAATATACCCGGCATTCAAGTAGCTGATTAGAGAGGAAAGTTTGATATTGAGTATCCTGCAATCTCAGGCTACTCATTTCATTGGCTGCATTAAGCCTTGCTACCTCCAACTTTTCATAAGAACCTTGTAGCTGTAACTCCATCGACTGGATAGTTTCTTTATACCCCTGCTCCAATTCTTTCTTCTGATCTTCGAGGCGCTGCTGTAGCTGTTTATCAGAGCGCTTGATGAGATCCAACTCATTCGTCAGCATTTGCACAGCTGATTGTTGCTTTTCGTTCTCTTTCAGGAGACTATATATTTCCTCTTCCTTCGCTCTCTTATCTTCTTTCAACTCCCTTATTTCTGCCTGAAAATGTACACGGGATGTCTATGTTAAGTTGAAGTGAGACATGAATATCCCATCTATAAGATATGATAACGCTGAATTCCTAGTCATGCCATTTACTTTAACATTGGGAAACATAAGAGATTGTAAGTAACAAATATTTGAGAAGAGAATGGCAGTGACCTCGATCTTGCGCAGCATTTGAGCGTATAACTGTAAGCCCGTGTGTCAAAAAACCAAGAGTAAGATTTAATCCATGAGGTGTTAATAAATAGAAAATCAAGTAAGAGTTGATATCGCAACGGAATTGTGACACTACATTTTTAATTGCAACAATAACCTGAGTTTGTGGGTGATATGATCTTAAAAAATCTAGCAACCGCAACCAATTTTTCACAGAGGCCCTTGATGTGTTTTACAAACCAAGAACCCAAACCAGACCTCTTGAAGGAAATAAGTTGATCGTGAAATAATGTAACATAACTTACTTTTAGTTCTTCCTGCGTTCCACCAGCCAATGTTAATAGCACTGAATTTTGTGAGGCAAGCTTGAACTCGCGAGCCATTATCTCTTTCATGGAACTCTTCATCTGCAAAAAGAGGAAGTAAAAAAGCACGCCAAATACGCTCAAGAAAATACTGAGGGCAACTGACAGGACAGAACAAATTCGGAGCAATTTACACCATAAGTTACAAAAGGATCACAAAGTTGCTAGAGGTGTACTTACTCTGGTGACTTGTTTCCTCTGAGTAACAAGATGTCGCTTGAATTCCTCCATGACTTTGTGCAACATAAACTCCGCGGCCTGTAGAATCGTTTTAAGAGTTAAGATAGACTAATTCTAGAAAGGAACAAAACAATGAAAATAAGATCAAGGATGTTCAAGTTTTAGATACTACATTGTGCACTTGCATATGCAAACAACAAACAACAAACAGAGTGAGAAAATGAATTGCAACTTCTTCGAGATTGACCGAAGCTGCCTTACCATAGGCACCTCTTCACCACTTTTGTCGCATAAGATGGCATTGATAAGACTAAGTAGTGACTGAGACGGCGCATTCTGCATGGTACACATGCATTAAATAGTTAAGTGTGGTGTACACAATTCTGAACAAATACCACGATATCAGGGGGGAAAACAAATAGTAAAAAACAGTGTGTTCTAGATGGAAATTGATGATTACGGCATGAACATCCAAAAAAGTAAGAAAAGCGGCAATGAATAAAGCTTTATCGTATAAATCACATACTTGAAATCAAAGTAATACATGTACTTTTATTAGAGAATCCTAAACCCCTCAAACAGGAAGATTTAGTTTCTGTAAGAACAGTAATCAAGACAGGTTCCTAAAATGAACTAAATTTGATATACTTGGAGTGAGGAAGACTAGTTCCGACTAGTTAATATGGTTCATTTAAAATGCAGCAAAAAATATATAATCTTAAGTTAGAAATGGTCAATGAGTATTTACATCCACTGCCGGAGTCGGTTCTCCACCATAGTCATCGGTAGTAAATGGTATAGAATCAGCGACCCCATGCATACTCTTGGCGTTTACTTGAAGAACCTCATGAAATTTGTCTCCGAGGTGTTGCAACCAGGTAGAACTGGGAACTGCACAATGCAAGCCAAGTTATGACCACAGAAAAAGCTGGAAATGTGAAACGCAGTTGAATTTTGTGCAAGACACAAAATTTTCTCCTCTGTCGGATCACCCACTGAACTTAAACACACTGCATAAAAATCCGGCGTGGTGGTACCTGCTGAGCTATTATCAATAGAAGCCACCTCCTCAGCATCTCCGACTGGACTGTTATTCTCCCCAGATGGATCGCTAGTAAAGGCTGTATGCCCTGAAAAGGGGCCGCTATATTCAAAGCCCGTTGACTGTTTGAATGTACTAGGCACTGAAGTGCCATCAAGATCTGGAATTGCCCATTGTATTCCGGCGTTGGCACTCCTATTATCACTCTTAGAGTGACTAGACTTTGAAACGGATTTGTTCATATTCACAGGCGGGTGGCTAGGGGATTTTAACCTCCAAAATCCCAAAGCACCGCCCTGCTTCCAATCATGATACGATTTCAACGCCAATATACAGTCCACCAGCTTTGCAGATGAGCTTGAAGACATCGAGCCCTGTTACGATGAGGAGCATTTAGGACAAGCAATGGCGACTACTGATGAAAAAGAACGTCTAGCATTAACTAGTCAATCTAGTAATTCCATCAAGATTAAAAGAGTTTGGCACTATATACGTTACATGTGTAAAACAAAGTGGTACATAATGGTTTTTAAGTTCCACTGAAAGGGGCTACATGATAAACTTGAAGATGAATGTTTATGGCTTCACACTGCTCCAAAGGCTTCATACCTGCTCCAAGTCAGAGACTTCAAATGAAGGCAAGCCCATCTCCTCTATTGCTACCAGAAAGTTCCTAACGTTCTCAAAATACTGAAATGCTGACTGTGCTCCGTCAGGATGATTAGAAAGAACCGCATTTACCACCACCTGAGCACAAAATAGCACAAGCGAGCCCAAAAACAAGATTGAAAAAAACTGAATATAAAGTAAATTGAACCTCGAGTCCATCAACATCAACTTAAAATATTGAAAGTCTAGAAGAATGAAACATTCACAGCGGAAGTTGAAGTATGTTATAGATTAACTTAAGCTACATTCATCACAAAAGCATCATCCAAAAGTATTGTTGAGCATCAGATGTGACCTTCCACAAGGAATATTTTGAGGTGCATACAATTAGAAACCGTAAACACCTTCAAAGGAGCAGCAAAAACGTGGAATTGAAAGGAAGGCCACCTACCAGTCTCTTAAGGATAACTATATATCTATGAGATTCCTCACCCACTTTGCTTGAAGTAAGATCCATTTTACCTTCATTTAAGTAGTAGCGATCAGGCCATGTCCTGTTATGATTGAATTCTTTTTTTTAATCGTATCTCAACGACATACAGTCATTACAAACTACTTAAGGTTTTGGTTTCGATCAAGCAGCGATCATGAGAAAATTCATGTCCGATACTGGTCGCCAATTTCAGCTTAAATGGAATCCATGGTGTTCTGAAATAATGATTGCATTCTTAACACAAGCCATATCCGATAACAGCCGCAAGTATTTTCCAACAACAAAGCAAATCGCTGTTCCCAAGCTTTTCAAATGTCTACAAGTATACTGAACGCTTCGATTGCAGTGCCATGTTATTCATATTCAGACATGTTCAAGAAATAGACAAAGAACACTTAGAACGAGAAACAAATATGAGCAGGTGTTCTAACCTTCTGTACAGCGCCGGGCTGCACTTTGTTGATGAGCTTGCAAAGATTGATTCCATTTCTCAAGCAAAGCCTCAAGTCTTCTTCTGTGGAGTCACTTGACAAACCCAAGCTTCCAACCATCCCTTGCAACCATGAAATCGCATGCTGCCTCCTTGATGCTGAATTTCCAACATTTGCCAAAAGGAAACAAAAAAGCAAAAGAAAAAAACAAAATCAGAATTAGCTAAAGTTTTACGGTGGCAGGCTATTCTGTCAACCCGTCCACTGTGAAGCAAGTTGCTAATTACTCGAAATGGCCTCACTAATAGTGTACTTAGTCGCACATTAACCCTGAATAACTAGATATGGAGCACTAAGCAATCATTGCGCCGAGTACTTGACAAGCATTTCGTAATGATATGAGCAGTAAACCTCTCTCGTGCTTTAAACACCAGGTTCACTCACTAGTCACTATTTTCTGGTCTACCATGCTGAGGTTTTCACCACTATGCACTCAATATTTACTGCAATCGGAATAGAGGATCGAGCCAGAAAAGAAGTGTTAAATAAAATATGATTTTACACAAATTGTACTCGACAAACTACGCAACGATTAGTATTCCAAAGTTTCAAAAGAGGGAAAAGAATGAATCCCACAAGAGACTATAACGGCAATCATAAGAACATCAATTCCCCCGAACAAGGTAGATTGGTGAGCGAGTCTTCTGATTGTGCCGATAAAGTCACTTATAGAAAAAGCATCACTCTAAACTACAGAGTTCCCTACAGATGTGTAGTGTGAATCCTGACATGTCATAAGGTAGCCTAATGCCACAACCCTAAAACAAAAATGGCCTAAGATCAGAACCTGCTTCCTCTGCTTTTCTGGATGCCAAATGTGTATCGCTCAACCTTACTCCTGCCGAAGAGACTGCATCGTTAACAATGGAACCTGTCGCATGATTCATGTGACCCTGATTCATATGTTTATAAGCCTGTCCCGTTGGCCTCTCGATACCAGGGATCCTCTTTTCAGGATCATAGAACGTCTCATTTCCTTCATACCAAGAGTTAACGGACAATCCCAGGCCATGAGACATCGTTCCCTCAACAGAAGAGAAAACAGTGGATGAACCGTTCTCATACCCCATTCTTGCCACATCCATAACTTCAGCGTTCAAGCGCAACTATCAGCACTTGCCAGCCAGAATCCTATGGTGCGGGCGTAAACCGAGCTCACCGCAACCGCGGGTTGAGAAAAACGTACCACTCGACGCCATAGCCAAGGTCCTGAATATAACTAAAATCGCCTTTCCAGCCACTGAAATCTAGATCATTGAGCGTCCGCCCAATTTTTTTTTTTTTTTTTTTTTTTCAATTATTCAAAGCGAAATCCTAGTGCGCATCAGCAATTGCACCGACGTAAGTAATCCAAAACAATAGACCCAAATAGCTCCCTGCGATTCTTGCAACTATAAAACTTGTTCTGTCATCCGTAGTGTCGCTTGCCAATGTTAGGATGTACGGGGCAACTCTCAGTAGATTATCCAAAGTCCACAATATTGCAGTTGCAAACTCACACTCCACACAAAAGAAACTGCGATTTCTTGACTTTTTGAGTTCTAAGCCTGTAGTGATTTCAAACCGCTGTTCCTTGAAACCTCGTTGCTATTTAGCTTACAAGCTAAGAACGCAGAATTATCTCGTACAACAATAAATAGTTTCTTGACATGAAAGCCTAGTGTTGAAGCACGTCCGCCTGTGACTAACAATTTCCACCGAGGCCTAGCAATCCTGTCCCAATCTGCTGAGCCTAAAAACATCCAGCCTGTACACGCAGTCCAGCCATCGTCCCTGCTCCCTGTAACCTCCGAGCTATTACCCCTGTCTGTCGACTACTGCTTCCCCTGCCAGAGCCATCGATTCAGTAATACACCACAAAAGCAAACGATCCAACAGAGCTCCTACCTCTCCCTCCGTCAAGGTTTCACCACCCAACCGTCACTCCCGCTTATCTCACTAGCACGAAAAGTTATACACAACTACTAATCCTCCGTGCCTTGCAACAGCCTGCTAACTTCTTCCGCTACTACTCCTGTTCAAACCGGTTTCTCTCTTTCACCACCGACCGCAACCACCACAGCATCGACACCACAAAAAACAAAATAAAACAAACAAAAAAGAGTAGGAGTGAGGCAGGAAAAAAGCATTAAAAAATGGAAACTGACAGCTCTGCTGAGTTCTGCTACACTCCAGCCCTCCGCCACAGCCCTACCCCTCGAACTGAAACAAGGAAACCTGCAAACCTACCAGCATTGCATCAGCACCAGCTGCGCCACCATACTGTCCGTCTGAATCACCATTTCATCAAAAGCATGTAAGGAATCAATCCGTGCATGAGGCGACCTCACAGACCATCAGCATCGCCATCAAAATCGCCTTCCGTCGTAACTCTCGTTGCTCCCAGTGCGCCAGCCTCATGTCAAACCAAATCTACTTCATTCCTGTTCCAGTCGCCAAAGCACACACCACTCAGATCTACCTTCCCCAAGGTATTTTCATCGCTCCCGCATCTCCACGCAATCACTACGTCTTCTTCCCTGCTCTGCCATCCTCGTCCACTGCGTCTAGCCCCGCCCCGTCCTGTTCCAGTGAAAAGGCCGAGCGAGAATGGCGCTACCATTCCCCCAAGACTCGCCACAAGAGCGCCACCTGCATCTGACTCCAAACCCCCTGTCGACCCCGAGAATAACTCGCCAATCCGAATCAAACTGGTGTAGCCGGTGACAAGTTCGCAATTTACTCCTCTGGCCATTCAAACGGATTTTCAGCGCGATACCCTGGGCACGGCTACGAGAATTGCCGCGCGTCACGCAGGGTGTGGGGCAGGCGCCCCGGTCGGAGCTTTCAGCATCCGGAGCCAGCCAGCCAGCCATCCAAAAAGTCGGCCGTGAAAAAATTAAATTAGTTTGAAGGCTTTTGATGGAACAGGAACGCGGGAGCGCGGGGTCCACGGCACCCCTGGCGTCATGTGCCGCTCCCCTATCATCAGGGCACATCGAGAGTCCTACGTGGCGAAATTGATGGAGTAGGGTCTGGCCTATCTGGCGGGAAGGAAGAAAAGGAAGGACGACACAGGACGGGGACGAGACGAGTGCTATGGAAAATTAATTCTTCCCCTCACGGTCATGGGGTACTCCATCCAGAACCGTGGTCCTAGCCCCACATGCATTGGTCTCTTAGTCCTCTCAGTCAATATGCTCAGGGGGGTGGTGGTTTGCTTGCTTTTTGTCTTCCAGGTGGTTATTTCAAGGGTTGGGTCCAATCAGGCAGGTGGGTACAGCTGGACTAGTCTTAGCACAAAAGCCACCCAGAAAAAAAGCATCATCTGCATTGTAATGTGGAAAACCATCCACTTTTAGATTATCTTCTTCTTCATCATCTTCATACATACATACAAACTGCATTGGACCAACTCAAATTCCTTGTGGTGGCATTTTCCATGTGGACTCATGCCCCTATGTTGGGCTCACAACCATGAGAGCATCACTTATCTTGGGGAGGGGGGGGGGGGTGCTCCCTATTGCTTCTTGACAACAGCCTTGGTGTTAGTGAGTTGACTTGACTGCTCAGCACTGCCCAATTTGACTGGATGAACAAAATGGTGTGTGGCCATGGAAATGACAGAAACAAACTTATTGCACTCTTGGTGGATGAGGACAAACATTTTGCTTCTTCCCATTCTTCTTCATGATTCCATGGTCACTTATGGCCTTAATGGATGGTGGAAAAAGCATGCTAATGAAAGTAAATCTACACAATAAACTATAACATGACAATAGTAAATGAAATCATTGTTGAGTTGTTTTTCATGCTTAGTTCTTTGTTTAGGTTTCCTTGAATTGTTTGTTTGAGCTCCATACCTTCCAGTTGTGTAGCTTCTTCCAAATAAGCAATTCTGCTTGATTGGGAATTTCAAGTGTTACAAGACGTTGGAACATGTCATAGACATTAATCTTAGAGAATATGTCAAATCAGTTGTTTTGATTATGATACCATGTGGTGTACTAGGAAAGAAAAAGAAAATTCTATCAAATTGAATAAAAGACAAAGAAGATAATTTATGAAGTTTCTCCATATATTCTTTAAATCAATTTAACATGTCATTTTTGAAGTGTAATATTTTGGAATATTTTTATATTATTTCTGAGTTTTTAATAAGTGACACATTACTAGTTTTAATTAAATTTTAAAGGGAACTATATATTTTTTAACATACCAAATAATTGTTTTATCTCTAGTTAAAAAAATATATTGTAAAAAAAATAATAATCAATTAATGATTATACATATACATTTTATTTTTATTATTCTAATTTTTATGATTATATATATATATATATATATATATATATACATAGCCTTATGTCTTTATTTAAAGTCAGTAGTATTTATTCATCATCATGTATGCTTTTATTATTTATTGTCTTTATTTATGTAACACTTTTATTCTATTTCATTTATGTTGGACATACAATAGACTATTGTCTCAAACATCTTCTAAAAGCTTTCTATACATTGGTACAATTTCTTTTAATTGATCTTTAGAAGCTCCTACTACTTTCTTAAATCTTACATAATCTAGTAGAAGCTTTTAAGACCCTTCTACATTTTAAAAGTACAAAACATTATTTTTTTTGTTCGTGTCTTCTCCTTGAAATTTGTATAGGATGTAATTACCTTAATATAAGTAAGAGAGCAAGACATAAGATACCTTTGTCTAGTCATCACAATTTTTAGAAGAATTTGAATACAACTTTGCTTCTAGTATTATATATAGTTTTATTTATTTTATTTAAATAATATTTATTTTTGTTTCTCTTATAATTCTAGATCTCCTGGTATTATATTTATGTGACCATGGCAATATTAGATATTTTTACAGAAATTAGATTTGTCATGAATTAATCCAGTGTTTTAAAAAAATTATAACAATCTCTCTAAGTTTATCATTTGTATGCTTTTAGAACTTTGCATTAAAATATTGATATATGGAACACATGTATTTGGAAAGAAATATTGCAATTGCAACACTTTGTAAAAAGAAAATACTAAATATTATTTATATATATATATATATATATATACACACATATATATACACATGTACATACAAACATACAAATATTTTAGAAGGCATACTTTTTTTTCTTACATTTTCCTGACCATTTTATTGCAACGTTTCATGAACCACACACTAATTTCTATAATGTCATCAAACAAAACACATGTAAATTTTCACAAAGCCTCTCTCAACATATAATGAAAAGGAAACTAAAGTTCAAAAACTAAAATTTCAATGGATTTCTTTACATTGAGAAAAGTCGTAGGTTCTCCATCGTGCTCCCGCTCATAGAAAACGCTGAAGTCACTACATGAGTCACTTTTCAAAGTGTGGACGGGAGGGTTCGATCCCTAGTTCGGAAGTAAATGGTTGAAGGGACTCTCGCTTTCAGTATTTCCTTCACTTGAGTTGGGGGCTAATTCGAGGTAGATCTTAGAAACTGCCGTTTATTTTATGTAAATGGCCTTTTACATTGTCACGTGTTATGGGAGCCTTTTCGAGGCAGTCGCCAAATGCATGGATTGCTGCCAGAGTTGCTGTGGAGTGGGCCGCAAGGTGAAGTGGATGCACGGGAGCAAGTGATTAGGGTTTCACAATTGCAATGAATTGTAAATTTGTAAGAGCTGAAGGTATCGGGTCGCTGACATAGTTAGGGTTCGCGGTTTCCCTACAAGGAGCTGATGAATGGTGGAGGAGTCGGTGCAATGGCGTATACGAAGGAAGAAGGAAACGGATTAGGGAGAGAAATGAACGAGAAGCGGAAGGAGCAGGATAGGATTAGAAATATTTGTATCGTTGCTCATGTAGACCATGGGAAAACAACATTGGCCGACCACTTGATTGCGGCAGCTGGGGGTGGGCTGGTGCACGCCAAACTTGCGGGGAAGCTGCGTTACTTGGACGATAGAATAGATGAGCAAGAGCGGGGTGTGACCATGAAGAGCTCTTCAATCTCCCTGTCGTTTAAGGATCATGTGATTAATTTGATCGATTCTCCCGGTCACGTAGATTTTTGTAGCGAGGTGTCGTCTGGAGTGAGGTTGAGCGATGGCGCGGTGGTGTTGGTGGATGCTTGCGAGGGTGTTCACATCCAAACGCATGCCGTGCTGCGGCAGGCTTGGTTGGAGCGGCTCACGCCCTGTTTGGTGCTGAACAAGTTGGATCGTCTGATTTTGGAGCTTAAGTTGACGCCGCTGGAGGCATACAATCGTATGAAGGTAGTGGTTGCTGCGTTGTGAATTTCCTGGCCTGGACGGCGCAGAGTGTATTAGGGTTTAAGGTTCTTGTATCTTATCTTTGTGACATGACCTTCATGATACTTAATTCCTAGCTACTGTGCGGGGAAATGTGGTGTTTGATTCTTGGCAAATTCATGCAGGCTATAATTGGAGAGGTTAACAACATTATCAATGCATTTCGATCAGAGAAGTATCTATCCGATGTTGATTCAGTTCTATCAGCTACGCATACGTCAGAGGACGGCGGTGAAGGAGACATAGAACCTGAGGATATTGTAGATGATGACGATGAACCTGATGCATTTGCTCCGGAGCGGGGAAATGTCGCTTTTGCAAGTGCTATAGATGGTTGTGCATTCCGCATAGATCGATTTGCGGATTTGTTTGCAGCAAAACTTGGAGCTAATGCTGCTACTTTGAAGAAGGCTCTGTGGGGGGACTATTATTACAACCCTAAGACCAAGAAGATAGTGGGAAAGAAAGCAGCTGGAGGGAAGTTGAAGCCGATGTTTGTGCAATTTGTTTTAGAGCCACTTTGGCAAGTTTACGAAGTAGGCATGCAGGGAAAAGATGGGGCAGAAATGCTTGGAAAGATTATTAAATCAATGGGCCTAAAAATATCTCCGCGAGATTTGCAGCACAAGGATCCAAGAGTAGTTACACAGACCGTGGTGGCCTCATGGCTACCGCTAGCTGACACGGTTTTGTCTATGGTCATAGATTGCTTACCTAGTCCCATCACTGCTTTACCAGAACGGCTGCCAAGGCTCTTGCCGAACACTTTCATTCCATCGACAGTTGACGAAGAGGTACGTTGCAAGTTGGAGTCGGTGAAAACAGCAATTGGAACATGTGACGACAGCATTGAGGCTCCCTGTGTTGCTTTTGTATCAAAGATGGTAGCTGTTCCAATCCAAGCCCTTCCTAAAGGAGAAATCGTCAATTTAGATATGGGTGTAGGGGACACAGATTCAGCTCAGCGCGAATGTTTCTTAGCTTTCGCAAGAGTTTTCAGTGGTGTATTGTCCGTGGGTTCCAAGGTATACGTTTTGTCAGCGTTGTATGACCCTTTAAATCCCGAGCAAGGTAAGAATATGCTTGAAGCGCGAGTGGAAGCTCTTTACATGATGATGGGAAGAGGCCTGGAACCAAAATCTGAGGTTCCGGCTGGTAACGTAGTTGCAATCAGGGGTCTCGGTCAGCACATATTGAAATCAGGAACTCTATCCACAACCCCTATTTGCTGGCCATTTGCAAGGATGAGTTTCCAGGCTGCTCCAATTGTCCGGGTTGCAATAGAGCCCTCCGACCCCTCTGACATGGGAGCTCTGGCTCGTGGATTGCGACTTCTTAATCGAGCAGATCCATTTGTTGAAGTCAGTGTGTCTGCCAGCGGGGAACACGTAATTGCAGCTGCAGGGGAAGTTCACCTGGAGCGATGCATCAAAGACTTGAAGGAAAGATTTGCGCGCGTTGAATTGTCCATATCCCCACCATTAGTAGAGTTTCGGGAGACATGCGATATTGAAGCTGACACTGCAGACGTGGACAAGACTACAGTTGGACAGGCTGAGTTTGTAGAAAGGATCACTCCTAATGGGAGATGTGTGGTGCGAGTTTATGTGACAAGACTGCCCAAAACAGTTATTGAGGTACGTTATTCTGGTCGGAGATATCACATCGTGTGGATCCAGTTGCTCCCTTCAGGGCCGATCAGTAAGTGAAAACTTGTGTTGTTTATACATATTCATAAGGTCCTGTCAGTAATAGCAGAAATTTCACCGTTTTCGGTGTATGGAGAGTACAGTAGCAATTGGCCTCCTTTGAATTCTAATTCGCTCACAGAAAGTAGTAAGATTGTTTAGTTATAATCATGGATCTAGCATAGTTTCAGTTGACTTCCACAGTATTTGGACTCATCATGGTTGATATACTGTTATTTGTTACCTGAAATACTAAACACAAGGTAGTAATTGTTTAAACCTAGAATTTATCAATTTGTTTTTTCAATGATGATTTTACAGGTCTTAGATGGTAATGTGGAACTTCTAAAAGACATTGTCGAAGGAGAGAATAAGGTGCATAAAAATCAAGGACGTCAACAAGAAACGAAATCTAGTGAAGACCCAGTTTCAGTCTTACGCAACAGTCTTCTTGCAGCAACAAATAAAGTAGAGGGTGGGAGCAAAAAGAAATCGGATGAAGTTAGAGACCTATGGACCCAGAAACTAGAACGGATTTGGGCACTTGGACCTCACCGAGTTGGTCCCAATATACTGATAACCCCTGAGGATTCAATGAATAGACCAGAGGCTGTCGGGGAATCAGGTCTGCTTATCAGAGGTACTGCGCATGTATCACTAAAGTTGGGTTTCTCGGATGTTGCTGAAGAAGCTTCTGTTCCTTCAAGCACGGTAAACGAGGAGGAAGTAGACCTTGCAACGGAAGCACGAAACCTAGAGTCCAGTGTCGTTTCTGGCTTTCAGTTGGCAACCGCGTCTGGACCATTGTGTGAGGAGCCTATTTGGGGATTGGCTTTTAGTGTCGAGGCATTTGTCCTTCCGAAGAAAGAAGGTGCGATTGGAGCAGATCAGTATGGACCTTTCTCCAGTCAGGTATGATTGCTGCATTCTCATTTCTTACATCGCGTTGCACAAATCCCAACCCCTCGGCCATGAAATATCTTGCTTTAATTTGTGTGTATATATGTGTATACAAACAAGAAGAAGAAGAATAAGAAAGGGAGAAGAGAAATCAGCACAGTCTGCAAAATATACAAGCCTTAGTAATACAGTATGTAACGTATCATGAACTGGAACATGTTCGCTTGGATTTGGTCTCACGTGTATAAGAAGCCTTCATTGACACAAATGCAATGCAGGTAATGTCTGCTGTGAAGGACGCATGCCGAGCAGCTGTCTTAGCGAAACGCCCTCGCATTGTGGAGGCCTTGTATTTCTGTGAAGTGGTTACACCCGCCGAGCACTTGGGTTCTGTGTATGGAGTATTAGGTCGGCGAAGAGCACGTGTTCTGAACGAGGAAATGAAAGAAGGCACCGCCTTATTCATCGTGCATGCATACATGCCCGTTTCTGAAAGTTTTGGTTTTGCCGATGAGTTGCGTAGAAAAACGTCAGGCTCTGCTAGCCCTCAATTGGTGCTGAGCCGTTGGGAGGCTTTACTAGAAGATCCATTTTTTGTGCCTCGCACTGAGGAAGAAATCGAGGAATTTGGGGATGGATCCAGTGTAGTTCAAAACACTGCTCGAAAGCTCATCGATGCGGTTCGAAGGAGGAAGGGCTTGCCTGTGGAAGAAAAGTTGGTACAATTTGCTTCAAAGCAGCGGACAAGGGCTCGGAAAGTATAATCTGAATCATGAAGTCATGCATGGATTTACATTTCACTATTATTATGTGCCGCATTGTTAGGAGGTTGCTAGATATTAGCATTGAGCAAGTCAATTTGGTTGCTGTGAAAAAGAGTAGTCATTCAATTTGTTGCTACTGCAGTCAATCATAATCGCCAATCTATATTTATCAATATTCGATTCTCCTGAAGCCAGGAGGTTGAATGTACAGTTTTGACATTGGTGTAATATCCAAGTTCAGAGGATATGAAGTATAGCTCTGGCTATGCTAAAATTGAGACTCCAACTGCAATTGGAAGCTCATGTTTTATTCCTTTCGCCATTCCTAGTATTTGTCTGACTCAATTAGTCAGAACTCTTTAGGAGTAGGGACGGACTGACTAAATACACAGATGATTCCCTGCTTTTGTTACCAATTTCTTGGGTTGCTCGACCATGGGCACTGTGATAAGGCTGGGTATAGCGATAATTATTGTAGTTAAGCGTGTAGTTTTGCTTAGTATTTGGATTGCCTTAAACATTTTCTCTTAATCGTGCGAATTGGTTCACACCTCGAAGACGATCCTCAACTTTTGCCCTTGTTTTCACAGCCTGTGTTTGTGACCTTGGAAGCCTACCATGTCCAAATTCTAGTACTAGTCAAAATCCAGTGGAAATCTATTGTGGAAATCTCCACCTCTAACAATCTGCCACACTAGTGGAACATGCTGCACCCCTGGCCTCAACATTGTTTGCTATTTAACTCAGATCCATGTACAAGTGCATATGATGAAAAATTAAACACAATCCTGTTATGGTATTGTCATATGGATTTGTTCCAGACGGTAGTTATGGGAGAAAGATTGTTGTATGCGTACACTACTGTTCATAATTTCCCATAATTTCACGTCAAATCAACAGTCTGTATAGCACGTATGTTGTGTTTTCGTGTCACATAAATTAAGGATAAAAAAATCCAAGGATTCTTGATTAGATATATGGGAAATTATATAAGCCTGTTGATGTATAATTTATTGTAAAATATGTTAAAATCATCAAAAATCATATCCTTCTTTTCAAATGATGTTTCCAAGTTTTTTTGAAAATATATTCGATTATTTGCATTGTTAGGATAAGATGAGTCATAAAGAGTTCTTGCTGGCATTAGCAGAATAGTACTGCAAAGGAGCTGAATTTGAACTGAATTTGATTAGTCAAGGAGAAAAATTGATTATTCTGATTAATATTAATCTTTTCAAAAGTGCATATAAACTGCAAGTGAAATTGATAATTGATGCCTTTAAAAAAGATTGGACAAATTGGTAAGAAAATTTCTTTAGCATCTTCTACAAATATACTTTTTATATACAAAGGTCATTGAATGAGAGGTTTGAACAAAATCAAAATTGCACATGCAGGAAAAAAAATTCCACTCACAAAAACTTCAATAAAATATGAGTATATTTCAAGTACTATTTGATTTAACAGTGCTAAGGAATACAGTAAAAAAAAACATAACACAACACATTGCTCTCATTTTGAAATCAAAATGCTTCTAGACAAATCGCTTTAGTTCGATCAATCATCTTGTACAAAACCGTTTATTACATACAGCTTCAAATTACATTCTTGTATCAATACATATTAGATTAGGTGTAAGATGGACGTACTTGTGTATTCAATACTCTCGCCACCTTCGACCTTATTCTCAGGCTCCTGGGCCAACAGTTTAGCTTTCTTGTGTTCATTGTCGTAATGCTTACGTCTATGTTCCCCGAAGCTTCCTGAGTGGATTCCATCTGCACATCACGCCACAATTAATTATTGTAATTGTCCTTTAAACCCACATGCCAATAAATTATTAAAAGTAAAACTAAAAGTAATTTGAGGTGGAAGAGTTGAGAAGCTGCTACTGTTTGGACAATACCTTCATCTCCTGTAATCCCATCCAGCTCATCTTCATTGAAATTCCAATTGATACTGCTGATTCGGCTGGGTAATCGGCTACTACTAGCTCCGTCCTCTGTTGCAACTCCATACAAAGCATGCCTCACTGCCTCAGCATGCGAAGCTGAGTTCGTTTGCGGTCTCTCATCGTCAGGTTCGGGAGAAAACTCTCCTGCAGCTCATTTCCGCTCCAACATTAAAGCTCAGTAGGAACGTCCCTCGTTGGTGTCCATTCGCACATACACAGACAAATATGTTTCAGATACCAAAGATATGCAAAATCTTCTATGCTAAAAATCTTTTCATTATTTGTTGCTGCGAGAGAAAAAGATTACGACACAGTATACAATGCACGCGGAGTTCTTTTGACACACAATTGCTGCTCTTAATGATACACTGAATTGCGGAGGACATCCACGGGCGAAACACGATACTGTTATTTTTGGTAAATACTTTTGGCGAAAAGTTAAATGAAGCAGAGATAAAGAGATGACGATCACACCATCAACAACGTCCGGTGCATAGCAAGGAGTTTTCTGCTCCGTTATCTTCTGCTTAGGTGATCTGCTAGTATCCAACATATGGAGATTTTCTACATCCCAGACAACCTGAACTCTACTACAGCAAGAACGCGATGGAATCCGTTAACATTCGCCTGAATAAATGTCTGCTTTGGCTGAAGGAAATGATTAAAAAAAAAAAAAAAAAAAAAAAACACACACACACACACACTACTTATTTTTAAACTTAAAAACCACTAGACTGAAAAATAATTTGGAGTGTCGTATTCACAATTTCTAAAATCTCAAAATCAGGGTAGAAAGCCAATTCCATAATCTTTTACGACGACGATTTCACTTTCAAGTGTACTGTGTCCCACATGCTTAACTCTCAGACAAACCCAACATCAGTTCCTCTACCAAAGCAGGCATCCTCTGTTCTTTGGATGCATCGCCAAAATCAAAATGAAAGATTGGAAAAATACATAGATATATAGTAGGAAAAAATAACCTGATAAAGTGTGGAACCAATAAAAGTCTCGACTTGTTTGGAATTTATTTTAAAATAAATTGTGATTGAAGATTTTCCCCTGGTGTCCCTCTGATCTGCTGCTTACAAATTGCTGTAATTCTCCAACTCAACACAAGACTTCAATACAATTTCACTCTAGGTTTTAGCATGTGAGCTGCAGGGGAAATTCGAGAGAAAGTTCAAGCAGTTTGGGGTGTCCTACCGGGATGAACGCCGCGTTTGATTGCTTCGTTTCATCCCTTCCTGTTCGATTGTAACGACGACGAACGGAGGACACGATGAAGACAATGTGATCCAAGGAATATAGTTACGCCATTCCCGCTACACTGTTCACAGACCCTGACAAACAAAAAGTCACTCATGACCGAATCGCAGCAAAGCAGGAGCTCAGCAGAGAAGTTTCAGAGCCAACTCGTCAAATAGAAACGGATCATTGTCTTGGCAAACTGGAGAGTGTGGACACTATTCTCGTACCCCCATAAATAGGTCTTGAATCCTGTGAGCACCCGCTCTGGAGTTGCTTTGCTTTCTACATCTGGCCAAAAGAAGGTTAGGTCTCGCCAGTCACCCTCCTACAATAACAACCTCTACCTCTCAGCAGTCTCTGGCTCATTCGGGTCGTAACCAATTCGTGGGTCCAACTTGGAAACCACGAACAAGCCATCGGGGAAGCGAATATCGCAACAAATGCCGGCGCTGGGTTGGTTAAGAGAATGAATGGTGCGCACAAGTGATGGCAACCCTGAGGAAAGCATGACTGTAGTGCCAAGACAGGCAGGCAATGAGAGTGTTGGAACCTTCTGCTTCTTCTCCGCTCTTCTTATTCATGGAAGTCATAGTAGCTTATAGCATTACTGCAAGGCAATCCCAAGCCATTTTTCACATCGCCCCACCCCAACCCAACATCGCCTCTCCAACACGCTTACCGACACTTAGTAACACTGTATAAATATGTGAGTGCTTATATATATATATATATATATAGAGTTAAATATCTTTTAAATTAATCAAAGTGTTTTTATTCAATATCTTTCAAACCATTTGATTTGATTCAATATAATTTTCAATTCGAATAAAAATAAAAATAAAACAAAGAAATATGTTTAGCATGTGGTTGGTTATGGTTGCAAGTTGTGGCAAGTTGTAGTAGCAGTAAAAACAATTATTATAATAGTGGGAAAAATATCATAGCAATAGCAGTTGTGATGGTATTAGTAATACCTGTCTTTTATATAAAACAAATTGGATATAACATAAAGAGACAAAGAAGTCTTTCGATTGGCAGTGAAGAAGAAAACATGAAGATCTCAAGGAATGAGAGAAACATGAGAACTAGGAATTTAGGGAATGTGGGAATCAATGGACATGGAAGTATAGATGAATGAGAGAATAGAAGGATGTGCTAGATGTTGCAATGCCCAATGGCATGGATTTTTGCTAGTATGTATGTGTATATATATATAAAAAAATTGTATGTGGGTGAATAGCTTTGTTTAGAATTTAAGTATTTATTAATATTTTTAGTGCATGTGAATAAATAAATATGTATATATATATATATATATTGGGTAAAGTAATTGGACATTTGATGACAATTTTAGGAAAAATAAAAAAATATATTTTATATATTTTTAAAATTGTAGTAAAAAATTTAAAATTAAATTTGGAAGTTTTGATTTTTTTTCTATATATATATATATATATATATACACATACATACACATATTTATATATTGTAATACTTTATAATTATAAAAATAGAAATAGTATTTTTTTTAATTCAAATTTTTTGGTGATAGTAATAACATCACCAAGTTGTAGATTATTAGTTCTTTAATACATGCATTGACTGATTGATTGGTGGGTTTGACACTTTTTTTAAAATTAACTGGTAATTTTTTTTAAAAAGAATTAAAATTAAATAGGATAAATTTTAATGTATTGAGATTAGAATATCTTCTCATTAATATATGGTTATCTGCATTTATACACTTTTTAAAGCTTTATAAAAGTAAGCCTTTTCACTTCTATTAAAGTTATTAGAATCTGTCATGGTTATTGACAAAATAAAGTTAGTTAATAGCATCATAAATTTAAAGAAGTAATCTTCAACATGACTAAAGTTCAAAATAGAAATATACTTTTAAAAAAGGTTTAAAACACTTTGTAAGAATTGTAGGTTTATTTTCATTTTTTCCCCCCTCTCAATCTTCACAAACCAATTCATATATATATGTATATAATAATTTAGAATATATATGCATTCTAACTTTTAAAATCACCTGTTAAATCCTTAGGTTCTATTTCAAGCTATAGTTGTGCCACATTGTTCTTTACAAAGATACAACAGACCTAATCTCATACTTTTTAAACTATTTTTGTCAAAAATATGCTCAAATTTAACCCCAAAAATGATTAATTTTCAAAATTATCTTTATCCTTTCAACCCTATATAGCCCTTGCAACAAATGCAGTTACAAAAAAGACAAAATTGTTTTAAAGATGGATGTTCTAAAACCCTTTTCAGTTAAAATCACATTTGAAGAGAGTTTATTCTTTGACAAATGATATTCAATACAATGAATTTTCTCGATTGATTCTACAACTGTACACCCTTCTTACAAACAATTAATTTGTATGAAACTGTTTCCTCAAGAGATGCTAACAAAGAAGTTAATCCTCTATCTCTAGCACAATGTCGTTTCTCAATGACAGAACCCACAAAATTTTACTTTTTAAAGTAAAAGATTCCGAGGGTCGGGAAAAGACCTTTTAAAGGAGTTTTTATTTTTATTTTATAGTTTCGACAACGCCGGAAAAGCAAGTCGGGAACAATCGAACGGCAACAAGGGCACATTCGCAGCGATGGATTTCATGAAACTAAGGCCATGATTCGCATCGGAGATAGTATTGCAAATCGACTGATCGAAGTAGGATCTGTGTCCATGAATTCGAAACCACCGAGAGAAAGAGAGAGAGAGAGAGCCGAGATTGCCACGAACAGACACAATGGGACCGAGAGCGAGAGTGAGAGCAAGCAAGACAGGCAAATCGAATCCCCGATCGATACCCTGGACGTGATCTATGCATTTCGGCGCGAAGGATCCAGATACATGCGCCGCCATCGGGATGCACTTGGATCCCGATGAGCGCCTTTCGTCTGGAAATCGCCACTACCGCCCCACTAGCTTCGTCGATTAGTGTGTGCATCGACGCCGTCGTGCACATCCACACACAATCTATGTTGTGTTGAGGTCCAGCACGTCGGCATGCTGCAATCGTTTCGAAAAATAGGCGGTGGCTGTCTGTCAGTTTCTGAGGCTGGGGCTTGTGTTCTTACCTGTTGGATTGGAGTGAATCGATGGTGATGTGTTGGATTGCGTAGGCCTGTCATTGATCTTGATGCGGATTGACGGGCCTGTGGCGGGCAGCCGTTTTGGAAGGGGAATGGCGGAGTGTGCAAGATCGTCGCCTGTAACGGAAGGGACCTGGAACGAATCAGAGATCCAGACAGACAGTCATTGCAGCGGGAAAAGCGATTCGTGTGTGAGTGGGACCGTCCACAATGTCATTCACATAGCACGCAGCAAGGTTGCCAAGCTCAAGGGTCTGCCCGGAGGAATTCCTGTTATCATTTTTGATGATGGAATCTGCTGCTCCTCCCATGCCTCAATACTTTCACGCCGCTGAGGCCATGGACATGTTGACGAGGAAACCCTCGCCAACAACGTCTGCAGCAGGGGCGAGCCGATATTTCGTCCAACGCGCTACTGCAGCAGGTGGTAACCCTGGACTGATTCGCACCGACAGGGAGCACTTGTCCGAGTTGGAGCGCAAGCTCATGGAAGCCAGACAGCGGGTGATGTGGACATTGTGATCCGTCTGTGTTTGTTGAATTTATCAGTAGTAAGGAGAATCAAATAACTCGATTTAATATCTGGGTTGCTTCGATGATGGTCAGCATATCATTGACCAAGTGGTTATGGGATTCGTTGCTGGTGGAACAGTTCCAAGACTTGAAGGAGGAGAAGTGCCACGCCAACTTGAAGGTGAAGCTTCAGAGTCTTAAAGCTTCTTGCGGAATTGAATCTATCTAAGACGATATTACTTCTCATATTTGAAGATTCTCACATACTGCTTTGTGTAGGTGCGTTGTGGTTGCATCGATTGCTGACTGTGAAAATGCCGACTTCCTTGGTAGGGTTGTGGATGCTCGTGTTGCCCACATGGATATGTGCGGGCTCGTGATGAAAAAGCTACCAGCGTGTGAGTAATACGTCAACTCTTTACAACTTCATAGCAACTAATCCGTGTTAGCCCCTTCCTCTTTGTAACGAATCGCAACGATTCTCTCGCTCACCCCCTGCAGATTTGCAGCGGCCCGGACTCAAGAAGCTTCTCGGAGACGTCGAACCTCCCTGCGAAAAAATCGGCCACTAGTCGGCAGCACCTGACGAGATCGGTAAGGACTAAATCCTGATTCACATGCTACAATCGCGGTACATAAATCCAGGGTAATGCTCGTTTCTTATTGATCACGTTTCCTGCATTCTTCAGCGTCTGTATATTTGATAAGAGAACCAGCCCACTTATCCATGTTGCGATGGATCCTGTGAAAGGTCAAATCCATTTCCACTTCTCAGGACACCACGGGCGCTGAGCACGGATCCTTGCCCAATTCCGAGGGGCTTCTCTTGGCTGTTGACAAATTTCTTTCTATGAAGTAATCCATCCCAGGCATAACCGTAAACAACCCCCGCTTATCAGTGGCCATGTGCACATTGGCTACCAGAACCTCGCAGCTGCCTCGTGCTACACCGGACAACGCCGAAGCTTACGAATCAATGGCATCCGAAACCCAGAACGGCCATCTTTCCGAAATGCCTTCGACGTCTAGGATTCCAAATCCAGCCGGTGCTGTGTTTTGGATTTGTAACGCCCCACTCGCAACCCTCCCTCGCCTCGCTCAGCTGCAGCTTTTCGTCGTCGCCGTCGACGTCCGTCGGTGTGCTCTGTCGGGATGGGGACGGGGACGGGCACGGGCACCTATTATTGTGCACGGTATTAGAAACTGTGACGTGAGATATTACCGTATATACGGAGTGTGTATCCCCTCACAATGCTTTCCCACTTTATTTGTAAAAGATTTTAATGGGTTCTTTTGTTTTTTGTCTTTTTTGAAAAATAATAGATTTGAAGACAGTTCTTAATATGTGCGAGTAAGGAGATTAAAATTTTCAAAATCTACACCATGCATTATGTTGCACAGTGTGGAAGACAATGTTATATTTTGAATTGTGGCGTGTGTGGTATTTTACGTGGTAGAGTTTAGTTATGGCTCGAGAAATATTGATTTGCTACTTTCAAAGTTTGGAGTTTTATGGGTTAAATTAGCATGGTAATTTTAATAAAATATACATGTCGGTGCTTTCATTAAAGTTCTTGGTTGTGCTCACATTAAAGTATTTTTAGTCTTTTGAAAAAGGAGGTGTCCAAAATAAGAAGAACTTGACTTTGCAGCGTCAAAAAACATTACTGCAGAATGGTTTTAGAAAGCCACATAGTTTTTATATTCAATATGAATAAAGAAATATGGTAATCAATAAATATGGTAATACTTTAAAATGAATAAGTGGAGTTGGCATTAACATTAAATATAGTATAACTCAAAAATGAAAATTTGTCGTTATGGAGTAATTCACCCAAGTTAAACTTTGAACGACGTTTCAAGTAAGCTACTTCGTAGTATCAAAGTATCAAAGCTTTGAGGGATGTTAGCTGACAATGTCCACAGTTTGGAGTTTAATTGAATATTTATTTTTGTGTATTTATAACACATGAAAAGCAATGATTTGTGGCGACTGCAAGGTTTTTGAAGGGACATTAAATGAAATTGCAAATCATGTTCTAGAAGTTTGTAGTATTACTTGCTATGTCGTAGGGATTTCCTGACAAAAAAGAAAAAACCATTGGGTGTATTGGCTCTTTCATTCACATGTACTCCTTTCAAATCAATTATTATTATTATTATTACTTTCAAACCAAGTATTTTCTATGAATGAAAGAGCCAATACACCCAATGGTTTCTCAATTCAAGTTAATCGATGTCCTGAGTGACATTAAAATTGTTTCGTTTTTTCAATAAAATTTACAATTTTTTATAGGATGCAACATAGTAACATGCATTAATTATAAAAATTTCATGTACTTATTTAATTTTCACAAAATCATATATACATACATACATATACACTTACTCAGTTCATTTTAAAATTAAATATTATCTAAACACGCTAGACCATAGTAATTGATTTGTACACAACATGCTCAGAGAGTGACTCCAAAAACTAAACCACGAAGTTGCAGTATTCTGCAACACACGCAGTGCTGGGTTTTGGCGGGAATTCAGGGGTCGTTCTCGCGCGAGGCGACAACAGCCACGTAGGCGCTGGCGGGCGAGGTTCTCACGGTCACCCATCACCGTGGGGAACAGTTCCCGCCTTTCCACCCACGCCGGAGTGCCCGGCCACCCGGTAGAGTGGAGATCGAGGTGGGGCTCCATATCGATCTGTAAACGCAAACCGGGCCCAGATAGCGAGGACGATGCATGCTCAGCCTCGATCGGAATCGGCACGCGCTTGGGCCGGATCGGTAGCGCCAGCAATACCTCCAGCCCTAATCTATAATACAACCCCTCGAAGGGACATTTTTAGAAGCCATTCTGGCGTGAATGTCACAGTTTACGAAGTTGACATCGGTCCGCCAGATAGACAGTCAGTCGTGTAGGCCGACTTTCGGAGGGCCGCCCCCCTCGTCCCCGCTTCGTTGTCGGGATTACTACTCATTTCCATGCCCACATGAGTCGAATGTGAATGGAGACGTGACCACGTTTTGAAACACGAAAAACCCTCATGCGATCTCTGGATGGCTAAGCAATGACGCATCGCTGCTCGAAGTTTGGGTTTTCATGCCGTCTGACGATGTTGCCTGCACGAGGTTAATGCAGAATGCTTCTTGCGTCTGGAGAGGTGTTGCGGCCGATGATGGACCTGAAATGCGCTTCTTCGATGAAGGGTTCGTGTAGTGGAGATGAAGCTGAGGTGACACGGTGTGGGTGATTTGAGGTTGGGGGTAAATTTTAGGGGAGCACGATGAAGGGTTTGATGCCGGGACGCGTTGAGATGATGGGGCTGCTTGGTGGTCAGCGGAGGATGAAGTCGATGCTTGTGTGGATTGTAGTAGTTTCGTTAGCGTTTACAGCAGGGATGTATGCGGCGGGTGGATCATGGGTGAGGCGCGGCCTTGGAGCGCACAGTTCGACGTTATGGAAGACGGGTCGCCCCAGACATATTCCGAACTGGAGAGAGAGTGCTGAGGCTGAGTTCGGTCAAGACGTATGTAAGCTGCGCGACGTTTTCTTGATGAAATTGTCCTTTGTCCGCTATGTGAGGTGCTGTGTCTGCTATGGCCATAGGCAGTGGTAAATTTCCGTGATTTTGGGGAAGTCCCGCTATTAATGAGTCTTAGAGGAGAGGAATGGGACTCCGATCGTTGACCACTCCAACGCCTGCTGTTTTTGTAACTCCATTATGAATCCCCAAAGTTTTGCCAAATCTTGTAGCGGAGCTTCATGAATGCCCGCTTGACGCTGCCTTTCTGGAATTTTGTTGGGCATTGGGGGAGGGGAGCTTGCTCTATGAAATTGTAGTTTTGTTCCATGCGATTCGCTAATTTTCCAACGAATTTTTAGTCTCTATTTATTTCTTCTCTTGGTTGCTACTATAAGAGAGCCACGTCAAGCTTAACAGAAACATGCCACTAACATTTTTCATGATTTTGGCCTCAGAACAACGATGAATTCCCGGGTTTGGAAAACGTTTTGGAGAGGGCCTCTATGCCGAATAAAACCATCATTATGACAACGTTAAACCAAGCATGGGCGCAGCCTCACACAATGATACAATTGTTTCTGGAAAGTTTTCGTGAAGAGGAAATCTCGCACCTCCTCCCTCACCTGGTGATTGTCGCTCTGGACCAAGTGTCTTATGATAAATGTCGGGAGCTACACACTCTTTGTTACATGCTAAAGACAAAAGGTGTCGACTTTTCGGGAGAAAAATATTTTATGACCGATGATTACCTAAAAATGATGTGGAGAAGAATATACTTCCTCGAAGTCGTTCTCGAAATGGGTTACAGCTTCGTTTTTTCGGTAATACTCTTCATAATTTTCTACAACTTTGTTTACATCTCTGGCCGAATGGTGCTGTGATGTTAATCTTGAATTGAGTCCCATGCGTCTTGACTGAGCTCAGACCTCCTTAAGCTTTCTAGTTCAGTATTATACGATGACGTGCGTGAGTTTCATATTGCAAGTAAATCTACCCTTTGAATATCGATATCAGCTGGATGTTGAGAATGCCAACCAAGGTGATGTTGAGTTTTAGTGAACACTTAGAGATATCCTGCAATCAGCTGGTGCCGTTTACATTTCTTTTTGGTTAAGAACCACAGCTTGTGCAGGTCGCTGAAACACCATACACCTGATATAATCATAGTTGTCTAGGTGTAGGTCCGGTTTCAAGTTGGTTCGATATCCATTTATATAGATTCGACCTTCTTTATGTAGCCTTTTCTTTGGTCTTGCTGCAGTTCAACTTTGTTATTGACATCTTTCGGAATTGTAATGCTTTTGTCGGCGAATCAAAGTTCGAAGACAAACTGCGCTTGCCTGACTGCTGAATTCAGTTCAAAAAATGTGCACAAGATGCTCACACACATTGCTTGTGAGCCTTTTTTGGTTGGTAGTTAGGTGTACTGCTCTTACACAGCTTTGCTTTATGCTTACATATATTTCATATTGTTCTTGTAACTTTTTTAGTTGCATTGCCATAGGTTCCTCTCTTGTTGGCATGTATTTGGATTCAGTGCAAAGTAACAATTACGTTAATAAGCATGTTTAGGATCCGGCGCTGGCAATATCTGCAGTGTTGAATGGTGCTTCGGTTATATATTTTGTGGTTCAATTGCCACTTCGATTCATGATATCTAGTTAATTTTGTATGCTATGTGACTATTGTACGTCCGTTATGTATTTTACGTGATATCTTGTGCAGGATGCAGACATAATGTGGTTTCGTGATCCCTTTCCTCGATTCGACAAAAATGCGGACTTTCAAATAGCATGCGACCAGTTCACAGGCATTCACGAAGACACGAATAATGTGGCGAATGGAGGATTTGCGTATGCACGGTCCAACAAGCGCACCATCGATTTTTACAAGTATTGGTACATGTCAAGAGACGATTATCCAGGTTTGCATGACCAGGATGTGCTGAATAGAATCAAGACAGATCAAGATTTTGTGGACATCGGCCTACATCTTCATTTTCTCGATACTAAACAATTTAGCGGATTCTGCCAGGCAAGTACACTGAATTTCTCTTTGAGCCTTCTTTGAAGCTTCAGAAATTGTTTATTTTGATGAAACTGAGACCTTCCCCCTCCTTTTCTTCGGAGCTTGATAAGTCTGAGATCGCATTCATTTTTTTTCTTTTTAGACTATTGTTAATTGATGTATAGGGAATCTGTGCCTCAATATGTAACTTATTATTTTTATTATTTTTATTTTTTTCATTCAGTTTCTTGCCTCTTGGTACAACTAAGAATGAGTCCTAACTAGCTATACATAGTTAGAAGTATTTATTAAGCATTATTTCGACTCATATTCATTTAGATGTGTGAACTTGAATGCTATCTGAGATGCGTTTGTCGTTTAATCCTTCAAACAAGAGATTTGATTTGTCTTTTACGGTTTCCCCACTATTAAACTCCTCTTGAAAAGCACTCTTGAGCACATGTAAGCTGTTTGTTTAATTTTTTTTCTTTCTTTCTTTTCAGTACTTTTGCTTAATCATTACAATCTTCGTACTGCTACCATTCAAGTCTGTTTTACCATGATTTTTTTAAAATACAATTTTATATTATTTTACCCCCCTTGGCGCCCTTCATATTTTGAACAGTATTTAACTCTTCTGCACCTGATTACTATTATTTTACTGTCTGTTTTTAAGCTCATACGTGCATGTGACAAATAATTTGTTGACACAGTTTTCGTCTTGCATCCTCTGCATTCTACTTCACTTTTGGATCTCAGATTACTGTAGCAGTGAGCAGTAGTCGTTCAATTTCTGTCAGAAGTTGCCTAACTTGAAATTTCTGACGTGACAACAGATTAGCAAAGACTTCGAGGAGGTTGTTACGATGCATGCCAACTGCTGCATGGGGCTGCAGCGAAAGCTGGTGGACCTGCGTCTTGTAATGGATGATTGGAGACGATTTAAAGTCTTGACTCCACAATTGAAACAGCATAATCAGAAAATAGAATGGCGGGCTCCTTCAGAGTGCCGCTTCTCAACTCTTGAAAAACCGACAGACTAGAATATTAAGGAGGAAACGCCCATCGGTTTCAGTGCATCCGCGTGATTATCCAATTAATGGGCAAGATCGTCTATTTCAGTTGTAGATTATTGCGTTTACTGTTGAGCTGTTATTTATTAGGAACTGTGTACTGTTATCCTTCTCACGTGCTAATCTGAATGTCCATAGTCAGCATGGTCATGTGACGATTCATTCAAGCAAAGTTGATAGATCCACTTAACTCGATCTAGCTTGTGGTTATATCTAACGTAATGATAATTGAATGATTGCTTATACTTACCGACGTGCAACTTGCAAGTATGACAAATGCATCTAGCGAGTCGATCAAAATCCCCAGAACATTGTCCATTGAAAAATGCAATGGGTGCCATAATTCATCTCCGATCCTATACATTTAACGAAGCATATATTTTACCCAATGGGATCTATAGTACAGTTATCCATTATTCTCTGCCACTCCTGCAAGGTCCTAGTGATTACTTTCACCATCAAAATTGTCTTCTACCACATTTAAACTTCTCACGGCGCAGATGAAACCGTGCTGGATGGTGGTGAGAGACCCTTCCGAAGTTTCCAACTCATATGAACAGAACCTATAACGGGTGGGATGGTCGCAGACAGTAGCCAGACGTATTCTAATTTTTTCTTTTTCTGATATGTTAAAATAATTTCCAGGTTCTGTGCACCACTATCGAGGACTAATATTCTCATTTGCCTACAAACCGATACTTTTAGGGGGCTACTTCTAGAGGAGTAAAATTAGGTGAAGGCGTCACGACTCAAATCCTTATGCTACTAGTCACGTCGAGAACAGTGAGCACAAGTATGAATGAAGGCGTGGTGAAGGAAGCCTTCACACCATGGTCAGTAATGGTTGGTGAGCACGTCCTTCTCATTGCGAAGTCAAAAACGATCTGTTGTTTTGCATGTCCACCAGCAGCAGCTTGTCAGAGGCTCCTGATGACCTCTGCAGCATCTATTTTCGCTCCTTTCATGGCTTGCTCCCCAAGATCGATCTCACGAGCCGGATTCACCACGACATATAACTGCACGGCATTCTCGTCCTGCTGGATGTGCACAGTATCAGAGTTTGAATCGTCGCAGGGCATCTGGATTGCTGAACATATTTTATGATATATCCATAGTTACCAATCTTAGATGCTCGGCGTTATATCGTCTGCTGCTGCTAGTCATTACATACTCCTCTGAAGGAATTAAATGGTTGATGCGCAGGTTGCTGTTCAGACACTAGCATAGCAACTGATCCTAACCGAGTCACGCAGGGAGAGCGTTTAGGAACGCGTGCAGTGTGGCAGGTAAGCTGCGGAAGATTCAGCCGTGGTGGACATGGGGCTTCATCTTTGGCAATAACGCTCTGCCGTGGCGAGATGAACGAGAGCTAGCGTGTGTTGTTTAGCAGGAAATTTGAGGACCTGCCTGAATGCTAGCCGTATCATTACTCATAATATATCTTGCTTATAAATTAGCTAGGGGGCATGCCTAACAAAATAGTCTGCATCCTTTCGTCGCCCTACACAACAACTTGCAGATTTTCTTTCTTGGGTCCCCATTTCGGTCGCATGTGTTTGTCCAGTGCGGATGTGGAGTGGTCAGAGAAAAGCAATTTTGTCCCGTGCCGCTGAGAGATGGAGAATCGAAGATGCAGAATCAAAATCAAGGAGGAGGCCGGCGCTTGGAAAAGTGGTAGAGCTTTCGTGACGTCACGGATTTGTCATTGGTGAAGTATTAAAGTACAGAAAATCAGGGCAAGATGTGAATCCTCTGTAGTGGATAACATTTTTGCAGGGTCGCCATCCACTAGTGCGCTTGGCTTACTTCTAATATAGAAAATCATATACATCGAGCACTTTGGAATCCAGCAGTATGTGTGGCTAGTCCAACCCTACACCGATTGTCTTCATTACTCGGTTGCGGTAAGCATCCATCACACCAACTCACAAGAAAATACTATTAAACCGGCATCCTCGTTTTTGCAGCCATCCTATATCCCCTCCTTCCAGATTATACCGCCAAGAAATGCTGCATGAATAGCGCCCCCCCTTTTTTTCTTTTTCTTTTTTTTTTTACCTGGTTTCACTCGTAATCTAATCCATGTTGCGAGTTCAAGGTCCGATCCCTGCCTCGATGACTACTGGAACTATTCTCTGGGAAACATCAATTCTATAACCTCTCCCCGAAACTCACAAATCGGCCTTTACTTCGATGCCTCATCACACGGTGCCCATCCAAATTGTGTGCGTTCGAGGGGCAACATTCAAGCAGCCATCAAGACGGAAATCAATACAAATCACTTCAGTCTTGCTGCTGGGGATTAATTGAACATGACGTTTGATCAGCTGGTGTGTGAGTTGGGTTCCAGGCCTGGGGAGAGGTGGTTCAGGGACGGCAGATTCTCAAGCTCACCCATGAGACAACTTAAGCGTGACAACGAGGGTGTGTGCTGACGGATGTGATATCTAATTTGGCCTTGGGGAGATCATAGAAATGGGAGAATGAGTGGGTGGGGATAGTGCTGGTGGGTCCTGCTCGTATGTGCACTGCTGGAAGGATTACGCCTATTCCCACTACACTGACCCCGGCCCGCCTTTGCCTTCGCCTTGCCTCGATTTTTAGTTTCGTCGTGGCTTGAGATTTGGGTCGGATCGGATAGTAGACCACCTCGTCGCCAACCTTGTGTCTGATGGGTCCTCTCTCTATTTACTGGTAGCGTTGTTGTCTTTGTTTGTAGACAAAACTTTGTAGGAGAAATCCTGGATGGAAGGAGCAGTCATGGCGGAGAACAGAAACGACTGCTCAACAATACTCTTCACTCGTTTGCAAGAACAAACCTTCACCATGTGATTTGCTTCGCGGGGCAGAGCACACGACAGAGAAGCATGTGCCTGTGACCGCGCGCGCGTACTTCAGAGAGAGAGAGAGTGAGGGAGAGAGACAGAGGGAGACAGAGAAGAGATGGTGTTGTTTTCTAATTTTTAATTGCCTCCTTGTTGTGGTCACGTCACATCGCTTTGTCTGCTGCGTCTTCCCAGTCTTGCTTCGTTCTTTCCCGGGTCATCATATCTCAGCTCCTGCGTATGTAGCCTTGGATTGGAAGTTGTGTTATGCCGCTGCATCGACATCGATTTTTTCGGGAGATGGAGAGAGTGATGCTGGCTCAATGCGTTTCTGGGGCAGTAGTGGCTCGAGGTGATGGCACAGTAGAGCAGAGAAGACGTTAGGTTGTAGGGTGATATGGTCTTGGCTGTGATAGGTTGATGTTGGAGGATTAAAATATATGAAAGAATTGACGATGGTTCTGCTGTTGCGGCGAGAAAGAGACTTCTGAAGAGGCTAGAGTGCAGCAACCCTGTCGAGAGTGGTGTCTTGGTGTCGTGATGGTGAATGTGTGAACACGTGGGTGATATTGCGGGATGCCTTGTCGAGGAGGGTGAGCAGCTGTGGTTGCAGTGCAATTGCGGTGTGGTCGTTCAAGACGTTTCTTGAGGTGAAACTGGACCTCGTGAACTCTGTGGGGTTATATTGCGCAAGAGAAGTGTATTTTGTTCAAAATTGCTTCCCTGCGTAGGACGGCTTGAGAGTTTGGTGTACACGCAAACAGTGCGGGACTGATAACAGGTAAGCTCCGAGCTCCTCATCTCAAGTTAAAAGTAGTTTTTGTTCATTTCTTGACCAGAATTCTTTGTCTGAGGAAAGGGCCTAATCGAACACTGTTGGTCGCACAAGATGGATAGCATTTTAGGTTGTAATTAGTGACTCTAACAGCTTTATTAAGTGGAAGACAGGTTATATTCTACATTGATTTAGCTTAGGTGCTTTTGGTTAGGAGCTGATTCGAATACGAATGCTGTTTGGAAGTTTCGGTACCATGTGTTGACCTCACTATCTATTTTGAAGTGGCTCCTGTTTTTTTCGTCTCTTGTGCACCTCTAGATGTAGGATTGTCACTGTTGAGGCGTTGGTTGGTGTACTTTTGGTTGCAAATGACGCAGCATATCAATGTTTTTGGGTAGCTGGTATATTTAGAAGGCCATCTGGCTGGCAATGGAGCATGTGGCATATAAGGCTTCAGCAGTGAGATCTGATGTGTGTGGGTGAATGGAGTATGTGTTGGAGGTTTACATAAAACTGTAGCATGTTGAAGTTCATTGAATTCGGATATATATATATATATTGTCAAGAATTTATGACATCATTTTAACCATTCTACCGTGGTGGCTTGATGCAGTTGTCGGACTATGAGTCTCTATGTGCCAGAGCGGGAAAGGAGTGGCGGAATGCTTGATGCTGTTATTCCGTTAAATGACTTTCACAGATCAAAGAAGAGCCATTTCTCTCAATTGGCATTAGCACCTGTGTAAGTGTCTAATTCTTTTGAAGTCATACACTAGCATATTGATTTTTGTGGAATGAATTTCGGAAATTGAAGCCTTAAACGTCGGGTTTCTTCTCACGTGCTGGTTACTTTTGGTGTGTGTGACAGGCCTGATCAGGATACTTTGGAAGTGGCTTGGAATGATAATGGAAAAATAGACATCCAAGGACAAGATAGTCAAAGGAGCAAATCTCCATGGCAGATAAACTGCATCTCGGATTGGAGCAGTGGACAGGAAGCTGAAGCTGGAGTGACACCCAGTAAACCTGATACTCCGAAGGGTGGAAATTTACTGGAGACTGGAGGAAATGGATCAAATACGGCACCCAATCCAGTACACAACATTGATGTTGATAACGACGAAATGGTGTCTTGGTTACAGTATCCACTGGATGATCCCTTCTGCTCTGATTTTTTTGGAGAGATTCAAGAAGCCAACACGCAGTTGTTGAGAGAATCGTTTACGCATGGTTCCACTAAGACATTGCCCCGCACTAATTTTCCCGGAGCTTCAGGGAATGATGCTGGAATTAACAGGGAAACCCCTTCCGATTCTGCCATGTTATTAGGTGTTGGCCGTGTTTCAGGTTTATTACCTCAGGGTGGAGTAGAAGCCTTCAACAAAGTACGTTCTCTGCACTCCCTACAACAACATTCTTCTCTTCCCAGATGGCCACAACCGCTCACCCCCAATTCATCAAGTGGTTCAAGTTTATTAGCGACAAATAATTTGACATTCACAAAAGCATCTGCACCTACATTGGCATCTCCCTCCCATCACATGTTGCCCCCTAAAACACAGCGTGTAGCCCCCGTCCTTAATTCGCAGAATACACCTCAACCTAGCAGTCCTGGTTCCATGAATTTCTCTCACTTTTCGAGGCCAGCGGCGATGGTTAAAGCTAATTTGCATAGTCTGGTAGGCATAAACTGTGGTCCACCTCCCAGTACACGTGTCAAGCAGCAGCACAACTCTCCTGTTGTAAGGCCGATTATGGAGGCGTGCACATCAACTGGTTCTTCGATTGCCGAATCCACCACAGCAGGGCAGGGACCATCTGGGTCCTATCAGGAGGTGAAGACGCAACCTGCGGTTTTGGAGAGGGAACAGAACAATGGCATTGAGGAATCTAGATGGCCATCTGCACCTTGTCCGTCACCGACAAAGGATAGTGACTGTGTTGTTTCAGAAGGAAATTTTAGGAGCACACCCCCGGATCAAGAAACTTGCCGGCTATCAGGTGTGACTAATGGTGCTGTATTAGCTTCTTCTGATAAAGGAGCTTCTCATGGTACACAACACCCCGATGTACAGGAGCCAACCATCACTTCCTCCTCAGGTGGATATGGGACCAGCATTGAACCGCTTCAAAAGGTTAGAACAAGTAACAAAAGAAAGTGTAGCGAAAGAGAAGAGACCGAATGCCAAAGTGAAGTAAGCATATACTTTGTGTGAAGTCGTAGGTAGGGAAGTAACAAGTAATCATTGATTGAGAATGAGGTGACTGTTGTTTCATGCTCTCCATGCTTGCTAGTGCATTGACAATTGACTTTCACGTTGCAATAGAAACAGCATTGTATCTTTCATTATGTGATGTTTGTTGTTGTGTACATTGAATGATAGGACGGCGAAGACGAGTCGGTAGACACAAAACATAAACCTATTACAACTGGTCGTGGAAGTACTACTAAAAGAAGCAGGGCTGCCGAAGTCCACAATCAGTCCGAAAGAGTAAGTCAACATATTTCATTTCCCATCTTGATGCGGAAATTTCTTGAAGAAAATGTTGTCTCCGCATTGCCTCTCTTGTTCCTTGAAGTTCAAGCAGGTTAAATTTCTGTGGGCCTTTACCCATTTGTCACAATGCTTATGTCTTTGACCTCCCAGCGTCGAAGAGACAGAATCAACGAAAAAATGAGAGCACTACAGGAGCTTATCCCAAACTCTAACAAGGTGCATACATCTTAATTGCCATTCTTTGCAGGCTTTATTGCATGATTCCTCTTGTACTTAATCTCACTTTCAACTCCACAGTTCAGATAGTCATGCTGTGGTGTGTTTATGTCAGACGGACAAGGCATCCATGCTGGACGAGGCAATTGATTATCTAAAAATTCTTCAGCTTCAGCTCCAGGTGTTCGCTCCATACTGCTCTTTGCTAACTGCCTGTAATAAGATACTATTTGCAAAACAATATTTATAGCGTAATTACGGCTGTACAAAGTACGTCTGCGCAGTTTATGGGCTAATAATTCATTTTTAGTGAAGCAGATGATGTCAATCAGGACGGGTATGACTTTGCCACCAATGGTTATGCCTCCTGGATTACAACACATGCAGATGCCGCAGATGCCGCAGGTGGCAGCAATGCCGTCCATGGGGATGGTGCAAATGGGACTTGGGATGGGAATGATGGAGCAGGCTGCACAAAGACGAACAAGAATGCCTATGCAGTCTCATACAGGGCCACCTCTCAATGTTTGTTTGGCAAACACATCTTCTATGGTTGATGTACATGACCTCCGCTATCAACAGCCAGGCGTTTTGGGTTATAATACCAGCATGTCTCGTCAGCATCAGCCAATGCAAACGACCAAGGTTAGATTTGAAAGACACGTTGCGTGTAGTGATTGACGGAGGTAATTTATTGTGACCTCTGTGGGCTGCCAGCCTTTTCGGTCGGTATTCGTGGCACCAAGACTCATCTAGTGCATTTTTGATGTGCAGGGTCTAGACCTTGACAAGTGTAATGCTTATATGTTGCAGCAGCATCAACTTCTATTTCAACAGCAACAACTTCAGCAGCACCAACTTCATCAACATCAACAGCATCTGCAACACCACCAGCGGGCTCCTAATATGGGTGGAGGTCCACTTCAATAATGGTGAGTTTTTTTGGTGTAATCTTTCTAGGGATGAACTGGGCTATGAATCTGTACCATTGGTCGGCGACCAATTACTGGAGGAACTGCGTTGTAGAAGTTTTTTCTTAATCAGGTGGTTAAAGTTCTTGTTGGTGCAGATAAGAATTGTTATGGAAAGTTGACCGAATGACCGTGCTTGCAAAGGTCTCGAAAATTTGGTGAACGTGGACAAGTTGATGCAGTCTTTGTAACGAAGCAGAATGTAAACTTGGTGGCCCTTTGGAAATGGACTTCAAGAGCCGGATATGTGTTTAGCACCCTCTTCTGCACAATGGACTGAATCAAAGCTGAAGAATTCTAAGCTTTGGACTGACAAATGGAGCAGTGCAAACTCTTGGAGAAGGTTGCCGTCAGTGTAAACTTAATGTCATCTATCTGTTTGCGATCCTAGTTGAATGGAACAAGAGCCTGAATGTTAAACCGCGGTCATGGTCATTACCATTCCATTCGGGAATTTTCAGTAGGATTAGAGTTCTCTTGGGAGTTGCGATGAGTCATCATTTAGGTAGTATTTTTCGACAGTTATGCAGAGAATTGTGAGATTTGTGTCAGTAGCCAAAGTCGGGATCGGAACTGTTTCGCCATTAATCAGTGACACTGCGCATATAAGAATAAGATGCGCCGTGTCGATACGTCAACCCTGCATTTTGATGCTGTGTGTTGTTGAGCTGTTCTTTATTTTTGGTTTCTAATTTAATAAACTTTGTTATTAGAAACTATTTAAGCTCTCGTGTCACTTACTAACGCCATTGTCGCTGCACTCACAATGGGATTTGTTCTTGTTTGTTAGTGACCATTATCTTCCTGGCTACTCTTGCTGAAATGAATATCATTGGGCTAAAACTATTTTCTAAAACTTTTAACCTGTGTCATCTGTGATCCAGTAATTGTATGAAACTTGGAGTCCCAGCTTAAGCAACATTGTCGAATCTCTGAGCGACTTCTATACTGAAGATGCGAGCTGATAGATAGAATCCTGATGCAAGGCTTCCATGCCAACGATGCACAGCTGATGTTGCTTCTGCGTCATCGATGGCACAAGTGGCAAGAATCTCCTCGAGCTGTTTCAAGACCTCCACCATTCCGAAACGGATCTCCGATTGCAGGAATCTTAATGATAAAGGATTCTACTCCTGATCAGCGGCAACAACATGAAACCTCATTCTGCATGGGTAAGCAGATATTTCTAGAACTTTGGTGCAGATTCCATGGAAGTAAATCCTGCCGTACTTGTTCAACTGTTAAGTTGCAGATCAGTCAATCAAGTTTAACCATGAAATCACAACAGGAAGTACCCATGTTTATTTTTCTATATATTTTATTCGATTTAACCCTCACTCTTTTTGTTTTTACCTTTTTTTCCTTTTTTCTTTTTTGTGTGGATGTTTGTGTTGGGTACTTGTAAATGTGGCTGCTATTTCTGCTGGGAATCTCTGAATGTGCCAAACAACTTCAATGCGCATTTTAGAAATGAGTTGATTCCATCATCTTTGTAAAAAATATCATTTAAAAAAACGCTTGTGATAGCAAAACTCATAAATAACAAATTAAATGTCATAGTATATTCATGTGCACCTAAAATTATATGGAAATTCAAGCTTAATTCAGGCTTAATTTTGATATTCAAATATATACATATGTATATACACACATATACACACAGATACATGTCTAAAAAAGGTCTTTTGAGACCATTGAACGACTCAGCTGCTTTCATTTGATCCCCACCACAAATGTAGACTTGACTCAGTTTATTTTCACAAGCTTAAGGAATTAAATATCTTACTGAAATTTTCTACAGCGAGAGGATTGTAAAATTTATTAGTGAAATAATTGATTGTTAGATATCAAAACTAGAAAAAAAATAAAAATAAATTAAAAAGTCAATTTGTTGTACATTGATATTACTCCACTAAAACTAGTACAAAATAAAATAAAATAAAATAAAATGTATAGCTTATTGTTTCATTGACAAAAAATATATATATATATATATATAGAGAGAGAGAGAGAGAGAGAGAGAGATACATATTCAAAATATCTTGCAAATGTTTAAAATTGATTCCATGAGTATTGAAATTACATAAATGATATAGATCTGACGACATCACATTAAAAATGCTACTGTACACAACTTATCTTAGCGAGACTTTCAAATACAAATAAGAAGTAATCAGGTGGATATTTCTGTGTCACTAGTAAAATAATTCAACTCTATGTACTTAATATTAATTTTGAAACATATTCTCGCCTTTTAAAAATATTCACCCAATACTCTAGTTTTTTTTTAAATTAAAATTTTCTCTTTCTGTTGCACCCATTGAACCCCTCTCAACGGCAATAAACCCACCCTAAAACCCACAGTTTTAAGCCACCATGTTTTATTACTGCATTCAACAGATCAGTCGTAATCGAAGTCTTATTTAACACCAAACACGTATCAATAATCAACCCCAATCAAAATGAGCCATGCTGCATTTAAAACGATGCTTCCCTTAAATAGTACGCCATTGAGCTTGTTAGTAAATTAATAACTTGATTAGTGAGATGGTAAGTTGGTTAGTAAGTGTATCAGTAAGTTGATTAGCGAGGCTGGAAAGCTTCGGAGACAAAGAGACCAACTCGAATGCCCTTTGGCGGTGATGAAATTGGGTGGGCAGAGCAACGGAGGAATTATTTGTTTGTTTGTTTGTTGGTTTGTTTCGGGCTTGCGAGCTTGTGAACAGTTTTGTTTTGTTGATTGTTTTTGTGAGTTCGGTGGGTTGTGGCGCGTCGGGAAGATGAGGGTGGTGAAGTTGGCGACATGTAGTCTGAATCAATGGGCGATGGATTTCGAGGGCAACTTGGCCCGGACCAAGCAATCCATCCGGGAAGCTCGCAATGCGGGCGCAACGTTCCGGGTAGGGCCCGAGCTGGAGCTGTGCGGCTATGGCTGTGAGGATCATTTCCTGGAGGGCGACACGCTGAAACATTCGTATGGACTCTGAAACCATCTCCCTTCTGCGTACTTGAAATGTTCGGACGAAGTTGGAAAGAAAAAAGAAAAAAGAAATCGCTCAATCCCTCTCTTTGTACTTTGTGTGTGCCACGCTGACGCGTTTGTTTGGGTGAGTATTTTTATCTGATTTTTTTTTTTTTTTTTTTTTTTTTTGAAGGCGTGGCCAAGTGCATGACGTCTGTGTTATCTGTTCGAATTCGAATGTGGGATTGATTCAATTTAATTTGGTTGGTTTTCCAAGGCTCACTGAATCTGGTGATTGGTCTGTGAATGGTGGTTTTGGTCTGTGGCTCCTCGTCTGTGAGATTCCTTCTTTGACTGTGTTGGAAGATCTCACAGTAGAAATGTTGATTATTTCTTTCTTTCTTGGGCGACGTTATGTGGTGCTTAATCGATTTCATCATGTTTATTTTAGGATAGAGTCATTTTTAAATCCAGCACTTATCAAATTTGTGCGTTGTCGATTTTTATGGGGTTTTTCTGTTGTCTCAATTCCAATTGACTAGAGCCAGTTGTGAATCCTGCTTCTACTTGGTAATGCTGTGAACGTGATGAGTTTGGAAAAGAAGGCACCATTTGCTACCTTATTCTTCGTTAGGGTCGTGTCTTGCTTTTCACTCAGACTGGACAGCTTTTTCTGAGCAATTGCTATTTTGTTGCAGATGGGAATGTATGGCCGAGATATTGGCTTCGGACCTCACCAATGGAATTGTGTGCGACATCGGTTTACCAGTTGAAGAATGTGGAGTGCGCTATAACTGCAGAGCCTACTGCCTTGATGGCCAAATCCTACTTGTAAGACCAAAGCTTTACCTAGCCAATGATGGAAACTACCGTGAACTTCGTTGGTTTTCTTCCTGGAAACGGCTCCGTGAGTTGGAGACTTATCAACTTCCGGAGTGCATCAGGGAAGTCACTGGGCAGGAAACTGTTCCTTTTGGTGATGGCTACCTTTCATTTGAGGATACGTGAGTACTCAGCGCTTCTATTTCGTTTATGTTTTTCTTTCCCCCCCCCCCCCTTTTTTTTTTTTTTTTAAAGAAAAAAGCTTTTTGACACGTAAGGTATCTGTACGTGTGTTTCTAGGTCTAGGTGAATTTCATTATTCAAGGTTTGTCTTTGTGGTCGTATCCCAGTTCTATTTTTCTGGTTGTTAATTTGTTGCAGTTGTCTAATGGTCTGCATGCAAGCTGGTACGAAGGTGGAACTGAAGTATGAACAATGTGTTGACTTGCAAAGCTTTAAATCTTATACGAACTTTCATTAGACCGCAGAGTATTCTGCATGCGGTTAGTAGAGTTTTGTTCAGTAATCTTCAAAGCTGGCCTTACCTTCCACACATCCAACACGATTGGGTATGGATAAAAGTATGTCGTGAAGTTGATTGGCAGTTGTCAAGAAATGAGTATTAAGAACATCAATTATTGGGATGCTAGTCGGTGATTGCAAGTCGGTAATGATCCCTCTATTATTCTTATGGAATGCATTTGATACAGAGGTGTGGCCTCAGAAACATGTGAAGAACTATTCACACCTTCGGCACCTCACATTGGCTTGTCCTTGGGTGGAGTTGAAATTATTGCTAATGGAAGCGGCAGTCATCACCAGCTGCGCAAGCTGAACACAAGGATAGAGTTGATGCAGAGTGCAACTAGTAAATGTGGTGGTGTCTACATGTATGCTAATCAACAAGGATGCGACGGGGGTCGTCTATACTATGGTACTCTCTACTTATTGCATCACGTCCGATAGTTTTCGGGTTTGCAAATATGTCATGCTCAATATGGGTGTGTTATGACTCTTATATTTCATGCGGTTGTTCGATTGTATAAATTTATGCACTTTTACTCATGGTCAATGTCACCCCACTAATCTGGAGCGCAGAAGTGGAAGTGTGTTTGTCCTTCTCTATCTACATTTTCAGTTTGTTGTTGCCATTTGCGGAAAATCCAGTCACTTAACAGACGATCGATTGAAAAATATCTTGCAGATGGATGCGCGTGCATAATGGTTAACGGAGATGTGGTTGCACAAGGTTCGCAGTTTTCTATGAAAGATGTTGAGGTTGTTACGGCATGTGTGGACTTGGACGCCGTAAGTTTACTCCTTCCATGTTATCTCAACAACATTAGTTGATATGTACGGAGTATTTGAGAGAATGTGGCTTTTTATGTATATGGTCTTCGTCAAATGAGGTCAACTTTGTCCTAACAACCACTAAGATGCACTAAGCAAGCGAGATAGATACAAAGTTTAGTTCCGTGAGATCTTCTGTAGAATACTAGAAAGATAACTAACATGCTTGTGGACCTTGACTATATGCAATTGACAGGTTTCAAGTTTTAGGGGTACAATAAGCAGTTTAAGGGAACAGGCCAGTCAAGAACCTCGAACTCCGTCGATTGCAGTGAAGTTCAAACTCTCACGACCCATGAATATGGCGAACCACTTTCCTTCACTTCCCATCAAGGTGAGTTCTAATCCATTTTTCTACAGTTCAGTTCCTTGTAGTTCTCCTTGTGACCAACCACACGGGACCTCAAGTGATACTTAAGAAATGTTCCTATAGTCTTTTTAGACTGAGGAGCAAACTATTGGTTGTTGTTTAATTGTAGAATTGATGGATATTTTGATTTTCTAATTCCAAACATTGTAGGTGCGCTACCATGATCCTTACGAGGAAATAGCTCTTGGTCCAGCTTGCTGGCTTTGGGATTACCTACGCCGCAGTGGAGCCACTGGGTATTTGTTACCCCTTTCAGGGGGCGCTGACAGCTCATCGGTAGCTGCTATTGTTGGTTGTATGTGTCAGCTTGTTGTCAAAGGTCTCTTCAAAACTTCCTCTTCCCTTCATATGCATGGTGTACATCTGTTCCAAGTGCGGTTTACTGTATAATCTCACTAAGAGTATTTTTTTATTTTTGTATTTTTATTGTCTACTGCAATGCAGCGGTGAGGGAAGGTGACAAGCAGGTCATTGCAGATGCTATTCGCATGGGCAATTATCGAAACGACGAAGTACCTGAATCTGCTGATGAATTTGCTCAACGCCTCCTTCACACAGTGTACATGGGAACTGAGAATAGGTTCATGCAACTCAACTTTCATGAAAACTGTGTGGTAATCCGTAGGGTTTTTTATTGCTTAGATTTTATCCTCAGTGATTTATGAAAATGGTTATTACTTCACATCTCCGTTGGTTCTGCCATAAATCGTTTGGAGGAATACCTAAATTTGTATTGAAATTTATTTACAATATGCAGCTCACATGCAACTCGAGATCGAGCGAAACGATTAGCGGGTGAAATTGGTGCTTCACATTTAAATGTCAACATTGATGTGGTAGTGAAAGCCTTGCTCACCCTATTTGAATCAGTATTCCCTGGCAGGAAACTAAGATACAAGGTGAGTCTTTTATTTGAGTGTTGAAGATACTTCGTATTTTGTGGATATAGTAGCAGTTGGAGACGCTGTTTCTTTAGTGTTTTCTCATTCAGAGTGACCAATTCTCTCGCATTTTCATGTTGGGTTACCATCAGGCTTATATTATTCCATTAAATGTTAGGAATATGCGAAAATGTCTCGATTGTCTAGATTGTGGACTGTAGCATGCAAGGCTTCGTAGCTCAGAAGGGTGGAGATTCACCACCTCTTTAGTTCATCCTCAAGAGCGTCTGATTTGACAAGCCATTCTCAGATAGAAGTCTATGTGTCCTACCGCTCTTATGTTCAAAAGATTTGAAGTTTTTTGTGGGGGTTTGGTTGCATGTAAAGGTGCATGGTGGAACACAGACAGAGAATCTTGCGTTGCAGAATATTCAAGCGCGCATTCGTATGGTGATTGCATTTATGTTAGCCTCTCTTATGCCATGGGTGCGGAGCAAGCCCGGATTTCTGCTTGTACTTGGAAGCGCAAATGTCGATGAAGGTCTTCGAGGCTATCTCACTAAGGTTCGCTATTTAAATATCTATCGTTATGCCATTTCTTTGCCATGCTCGTTTACTCCGAAAGTAATTATCTGGTCATGAGATGTTACGGATTCTTAGGGCATCATTGGTTCCTTAAGTCAACCAGTTCTCACAGTTGTTAACTTCGCTTCTATTTTTCTGTATTTTTCGAAAAATGACGAACCTCTGGTGATGTTGAGCAATGCAGTATGATTGCAGTTCGGCTGATATAAACCCAATTGGAGGTATTAGCAAAGGAGATATTCGAGCATTTTTACGTTGGGGTGCCTTGAACCTTGGATACGGAACTTTAGCCGAAGTTGAAGGCGCACCACCGACAGCAGAATTGGAGCCGATCACTGTGAAGTATACACAGGTACGTTAGTCTACCCACTCTTAAGTCTACCACCGCAACATTTAAATTCAGAATTGTACGAAAGTGAGATGTGATTTTAAATTCTAAGACGGTAGAAGTTCTGAATTGTATAAAAGTGGGATGAACTTAAGCCTTGCTCAATAAGCCTAATTTGATAAATTTGTGCAGACGTTTTCATCTCTAACGTGCCGTTACTTTCCCAGACTGATGAGATCGATATGGGCATGACCTATGAGGAGCTGGGCATGTATGGGCGACTGAGAAAGATCTTTCGTTGCGGTCCTGTATCTATGTTCGAGGTAAACCTGGCCGAAACCGTTTTAATTTATTTCTACTCTTTAGTGATCCTAAGCACAAGTACTAGTCAGGTTTGAAATTACCTCACTGCTTGTCGAAATGCGTACTGTGCTCAAGTTTACTTTTGAACAGGCCTTGAGAACGCTACTTCTTTTCAAGAACCATCATCAAGAGTTATATCTATATCCAAAAAGATACTTCAACTATCAATTCTACATCTAACTATTGTTAGCGGTGTTTTTGCCCTGCCAGAACTTGTGTATACGGTGGCATGGACGTCTTACACCCGCAGAAGTGGCACAGAAAGTGAAGGACTTTTTCAAGTACTACTCCATTAATCGACACAAGATGACAACCCTGACACCGTCTTACCATGCAGAGGTATGATGCTTTCAAAACTTGCAGCTAAGAATCCAAATGGGTTGAGTTTGTTGATCTGGATTTGGATGGTCGATTTGGATGGAATTATTGGATGGTATCTGTATTCTACATCGGGGATATCCTTGTATTGGAGCTAGCTTTAAATCAGCAGGTCTCTTCCTCCTCTCGTTGCCTCAATTTTCAACGAGGCTGATATTGCTTTACCTGCATGGTTTTGAATTGCAGAACTATTCTCCCGAGGACAATAGATACGACCTGCGACAGTTCCTTTACAACACCCGCTGGCCATGGCAGTTTCGGCGTATAGATCAGCTTGTGGACAAGTATGAAACCAGTATGCCGGAACCACTGACGGAATTTAGGCAGCATATGCAGCCTACTGCGGCTGAAGCTGCTGCTCCCAACTCTACCGGCCTGGGTGTCCCTGCAGCGTCCTCTGGTAATCCACAGGCTAGTGGGAATTTGCAGAAGTAGTACTGCCCGCCATGCTCCCCCAGCCTCAATCTGTCGATAGTGCATCATTGAACGAGTTAAATATAGATCTATTAACATATATAGAAGTTTCATTATTGTTAGTTACTCCCCTAACTTCTCTTACTGCGATTGGTTCATATTGGGTTACATTTTTTCAGCTGTGCTGGTTAGTACTTGTACCACATGGAAACAGAATAAGTAGGCAGGTCTTCGTCTGGGAATTGTGCAGGCATCCGTCGTGATTCTAAGGGTTTGCCTGCGGAGCCGGTCCAGACAAGACGAATCAATACTGAAGCTATTCTATCAGGCTGTGGAGTCAATCCTCGAAAAAATATGACAAAACTTTCGTTGCAGAGGTTCAAAGCCATCACAAATCGTAACAATCTTGTGAAAATCAGGGCGCCTTACGCTCAGATCCATGGTCCTACAGCATTTCATCATTTGGGGATTAAAATGTGGCCCCCAAGGATATCAGTAGCAATCCTTTGATTTTTTTTCTTTTACAGCCTGCATTCTTAGGTGAAGCAGAATACTCTTCTCGTTTTGACACCTTAAAAGTCAAAGGCCAAGTTGAAGAGTTAGTGTCAGTATTGATAACTTACATTTCATGGCAGATATTGAATTGAACTCACTCGCGAATCAACTGTGTGTTGTGTCTACGGACAATGTGTATGAAGTCTTCGGGAAGGAAACAAACAATGCCTCCTTTGTTATTTCTTCCTTCATTGATAATTATATATGAGATTCGATCGTACACTAAACTATGAAAACGATCATATTTCTATTTAAATGGCAAACTCAATTGAAGAGTACCGAATCATATCTTCAAAGTAGCGGATAATAAGTCGGTGGGGCAAGGATCCCTAGGCTCTGAAAAGGGCAGTAATTGAAGCAAGGAAGGACGGCTATAACCTTTCATGCACCGAGGGCGAAAGACCGCTCAAAGTGGAGGCCGATAGATGTGACACCAATAAATTTATAAATATCAGAAAGTCATCCGTCATGGTACTTCCGGATGAAGCTGCATAATCTCATCTCCATGGAAGGTTCATGCCCCATATCTCCGTAAGTGGTAGATTTCTATTGAAAGCGGAAGGTCTCAGGAATAAGAGAAACCTGATAATGGGAACCTACCCAAAGAGCTGCTGAAACTGGCCTTATAGCATATGTAATCTCGTGCTGTCCCTGCACAGGTAGTTCGAAACACAATCTGTTTGAACGCAGATATTCAACAAAGCTAATGAGTTCGGAGTCGTCATAAAATGCCATCGACATACCAAAGTCCAAATTCAAGTTTGTTGAAATATGTTCCTGTTTCTGAAATAGAAACAATTCAAGAAATTGATAACACTGTGCAGCAATTTATTGTGCACACTGACGGCTGTCATACAGTACGGGTCATGAACTGCAACTTGAAATCAAAAAACAATAAACGATCCTGAATATAAAAAGGAAAGAAAATAAAGTTGTCTACACCTAATTAACCCCATCACGGCACTATCGGCTGATGGACAGTATGGTTTCCACACTTAGAAAATTTTCTTCAAACGCTTTACAAACCCAACGCCTGGGTAAAGAATAAAAAAATATCTCTCATGATTGGAGAAAACCACTCCAATATCGTTGAATGCCAGCTGTGTAGTTGCCTTCGGCGATCACATCAATTGTCGTGCGATGTAAAACTAACTAAAAAAGAATGATCACATACATGATAATTTCTTCCTATCCTGACAAAGACGACTTCGAGTCCTACTGAAAATACTAAGAGTTACAAGCTTCAATTTGCCGAGTCCACTGAATGCACCACGCTAAGAACCATTCGAGACAGACCACCGAAGCATGTGGCCTGCAACAAGACCAAACGCAAGTCGGGCCCTCGCAAGGGGTGTCCTGGATTGGGAAGGTCGTGGACGGTTCTCTGGATAGATGTTGATCGATCCTCTACGTTCCTCACTCTGCACATCAACCAGAGTCATGACTTTAGCATTGCATGCTGGGACAAATTCGCTACACAGAAATACTCGAGCAATTTCTGGATGAGGTCATCATTCAGCTTCACTGCAACTCAACACAAAACATTATACAAAGCACAGGTATACGTATTGCGCAGCATAAGATATGAATGGTGCGAGGCTGTTCAGAGTAGAGAACGAAGACTACAGCATTTATGTTGATGACCTATGAAATTCGTATTAAAAACTTAGAAACTTCAGAACTGCATTCTACAATACCATAGAATTTAGAACTGAGTTCATGTTGAACAGAATCAGCAATAAATTTACTACGCGCCTCTTATAATTTTCAAAATGTGTCGCAAAACTATCATATGCTGTTTCTACCAAACGAGGGAATTATAAACAGCTCTAAAAATAAAAAATTTAAAAAACACCCGGTTGTCCAATTCGCATACCCTTTAACAAGTCACCAGCTATTCCCCTATCCTACTCATGACTGCATATATCCGCAACTCACCTGGGCGGCAATTGGAACTGCTGACGGCGCATCCAGTGTTACTACTAAAGACACTCTATTCCAGTGAAGACATGCCACGCTCGCCGGAGTCACCATTCTGCACTTCTTCACCTTCATCTTCACCAGGTTCGGGCATCCACTCACCAGTGCTTCCATTCCACGGTCCGAGATAGGGCATCCCTTTATACACAACTTCTTCAAAGCCAAACACTTATCCGCTATGCACGACAGCTCTGGGTCACCGAATGTCTCGCTCGTGCAGATCGCCAGACGCTCCAGCCCAGGACACTCTGACGCCACCAGGCTCAAGCTCGCCGTCGTCGCGCTCACTCCGATTATTACCAGCTCCTGCAGATGCCTACACTTCCGCGCCACCATCAGCAGACCCTCATCTCCCACGCGACTGCTCTTCATCACGTCTACATGTAGCTTCCTCAACAGCGGGCATCCGCTCGCCACTGCTGACAGCCCATGATTCGTGCACTCCGTTGGCTTTACCAAGTACAGCACCTGCAGATTGCTCCACCGCGCCACCGCTTTTAGCCCTCGATCCGTCACGCACACCTTCTCCATGTGGAACTCCACCGGGCTTGTCGTGTGCTCCGTAATAATCTCCAGAAGAATATCCCAGTTACCCGGCACCCGACTCAGAATCAGCGTGTGCAAACTCTTCGACCCTGCTATCAGCGGGCCCAGCAGCTGGGCGTTCGGCAAGTCCTTCACGCACAGCCTCTTGATGCTGCACGGCCCTGGCAGCACGTGCTCCGCAGGACCTGGGTTACCCATTATGAACCCTCGCAGCCGCTTCACCGTCAGCTCTTCCAGATTCTCACACTGCTGCAGCACCGCGTTGATTCCCCGAGGCCCGAATTGGCACGACCCGCAAGAAAACGTCCTCAACGACCCCGAAACCAGCTCTGCAAATTCCTCCAGTCCCCTATCTGACAGTCCCTTGCACGCCTTCAATTTTACCTTCTGCAGTTGCTGGCACAACCGTCCCACCAACACCAGTGCTCCATCATCGATGCTCACCGTCCGCCGGTCGCACTTGAGCACCAGCTTCGTAATATGCGGAAACCTCTCTAACAGCCCCGGCAGGGCACACCCTAGCTCCGCCGAAGCGTGCAGCGTCAGCCTCTGTCTCCCTTGCCCCTCCACTCTGTACCATCGTTTGCACACCAACGCACATCGATTTCGGTCCGCGGTGCACAGCTTCCGGAACACCGAAGCCACGCACTCGTCGGGCGCATACTCAGTCCAGTCATCTCCCTCTTGCAACTCCACCGCCCTGCTCTGACTCTCCCTCTCTTCCTCCCCTTCCTCTTCGTCCTCCTCCTCCTGCACTCGACTAGGGTTACCCGAGCAAGCTACTACCGTCGAAGCTCCCTGGCCCATGGTTGCTTTCTCCCTCGCAACCACAACTCCTTCTCCCCTTCCTCCTCCTCACCACCACCACCACCCCCGCATCTAACTCAGTAACGTTGCTATCCTCACCCCCTTCACACCACCAACATCACCATCACCACCATATCTCACAGAACTTGCAAAGACACCATCACCTCCGATCTTTTCGAACACCACAAGAGAAGCCATGTCCGCCCTACCGAGCTCCGTTCACCACGACGTCCTCCACGAAGCGCCGCTGCAATTCTTCCCGTTACGCGAGGCGTGAATCCTTTTGCGTCACAACGTCTCTCGATCCAGGCTGCAATCGCAGACACCGACGTCGAAATCGTCACAGCACGGCAAACTATCATAAGGCTCGGAGGAGGAGGTGGGAAAGATGAGGAGGAGCAGCGATAAGGAGGAAGTAAATGGGGACTTTGTTGCCAACAGCGAGGTGTCCCCGTCTTTCCATATTAAACTTCGTGTACCTTAATATGGTAAAAGATGGGATTGTCTCTTTCCCCCGCTATTGGATGGAGTCAGTGGAGCGCCCTCTTATTCCGCACCATTTGACCCTCGCTATAGAAACTTCATCCACCCGCTTCTCTGTCGTTTTCCGTTATCTTGGCATGTGATCATGATTAGCGAGGCTCCCTGTTGCCCAATCGCGAGGGGAGCCTCACTTGATGGATGAATGAAAAGTATGGCGCTGATTCTTCAGTCTCTTATTCATTCATCCATATTCAAAATCTTACTGGAAAAGCAATACCCAAGTTTAGAAACAAAGGGCTTCTGTAGTTAGATGCTATCGTTGTTTAGGTTTTATACTCTTGTTTGTTTGGATACTGGAATTTGAATTAGGTTTGGTTAACCTCATGTTTCTGCTTCTGGACGAATGCTAAATGTATATATGAGCTGGTGTAAATGACTTGCTATAATATGTGAATATGACGTTTGACTCTCGCTATAACAATTTCAGACACCCAATCAATCACTGTGAAATTATTGGCCTTCATGCGAGTCTCATAAACTACCTTTTTAATGGATAAACTAAGTCAACATGAAGAAAATATTTCTAATATTGATATCTTGAAGTGGAGGTTTAACCACAGTACACAAGAAATAATTGTTTTACTTATCAAACTTTGCACATAAGAAGGGTTTAATAGCATTAAAAAATGAATCACGTAATATTTAGTGTTTTTTCTGAATATACTTTTAAAGACAAGTGTTTTGTAAGCTGAGCATTTTAATAAGAAAATAATAAATGAACTTTGCTGCCTCTATATATTTCTTCTTGATGTGACAGAAAAACTAATCTCCCCTCTCTTAGTTATTTGGAACAATTGTTGTAGATCATAAGAAAAAAACTCCTTTTTTGCTGAGTCAATCCCTATATAGTTTTGGACAGTGATAGAAACATTTATTATATTGGTCTAAATAATTGAGAGTCAAAAGATATTTACAAAAATCTTCAGTAATATTGTCAACAAAAGAATAGAAAACATATGAATAATTGCATGATATTATATTTTAGAAAGTAACCCCACTTCAAACCAAACACAACTTGAATAACTCAGGAAAGTCATTTTCCAAAGTTTTCTCTTTCAAAGACACAAATTAATATTCAAGCCTTGTTTTTCAAGATTTGATTTTATTCCAAGATTTGAGTTTATCCAAGACTTGACATCTTTATTTAAATAACAAGAGATTCAGTAACATATCATTTCTACCATCTAAATCTCATCATACTTATTTATAATTTTTCTTTTAATATTTTTATATAAAATCATTGAAAATATAATTCAAACTTAATAAGTCTTTATACTATTATATAATTTTTGAAGAATTGATAACCAATGTTTACTTTCAAAGAAAATTGTATTAAATAATATAATTGTAATTTTAGAATCACATGTATTAATCATTTTAGTTGAATATAGTAAAATAATTATATATTAAATTTTATCAAATAAATATTATAATTTAAAATTAATCACAAAACAAGTACATGAGCATTTTAATTTTTTCTTTGTCATATGATGTGGCAATGTCTTGTTGAATGGATGTAATCTCATTTAATTTAGTGGATTTTCATCTACTTAGCATTTTCTATTAGTTGACCTTGTTAGTGTCAACTAGGGATTTATATAGAAATTTTTTATTGACTTGATATTCTTATCAAGTGAAAGATGAAAAATCTAAAATTCTTTTAATGATGTAGTTTTAAAATTATAATTGCATCGATCTTAAGAATGTGATGCTTGTGCATTCTTACTTGATTTAGATTGCAACTTAATGTTGATTTTTGGCACTTGATCTATAGTGTATGACAATCTTTATTTATACAACACCTTTGATTTTTTTGGAATCCAAAAATTATAAATTAGTTAATATTTTAACTTTCTATTATTTTAAAATATTTCCATCTATATTTCAAAAAAATCAATATTATAATATTTATTATAATATACAACAAAGATCTTATTATTGTTAAAAGTTAATAAGAATTTTTTTAATAATAAACATAATCACATTATTGGTATAAAATTAAAGTGTTTTATATGGTTTCATATTAGTAGTATTGTTTGAAGAATGCAATTTATAAATTTAGTAAAAATTAAGTAAGAATCATAGCAAATACTATTAAAAAAATATGATGAGGTATATTCTTGAAATAGAAGTTTAATGATGAAAATACAAAATAAATTCACCACTTAACTAAGAAGATTCAAAAAAACTAACCACATGAAGTGAGCCTCAATTATACAATGCTTCTTCAAGTGCCTATTATTGTGTAAACTAAGTTATCAATTGTGCTTTGATATGAAATATTTTTCATTGCTTCATCTTCTTTGTGAATTTTTGGACTCATGATTCCTAATAATTTGTTAAAAACTAATGTTGTAATTAAAGATTTGTAATCTTCCATGCTAAAGCTTTTAATTTAAAAAAAATATATATTTTATTGATTTAAATAAATCATATGATTCTTTTGGTTTCTTATAAATTGCATGCCTCAGATATTATGTATTTCTTCCAAATATTTCATCTCTTATAGCAAAGTAACTCTTGGTTTTTAAAAGAAGTCCCTTGTTGTTGCAAATTATAATAAGTCATTGATATATGATGCAATGATAATAAGTTCATTGGAATTCCTCATGATATAAATATTAAAATCTACACAACCCATGTTTAAACTTTGTGAGGCAATAAACTCATCTATTTTCTTGTACCATGCCCTTAGAAATTGCTAGAATTCATATAGAGTTTTAGAGAGCTTACAAATGAAAGACTCTTTGCTTTTAGAGACATAGCTTTGGAGTTGTTCCATGTAAATCTTTTCTTTTAAATCTCCTCTTTAAGATCTTCATTTAAGAATATTCTCTTTAAATCCATTTGATAAACTTCTAACTACAACAAATCCAATAAGTTTATAAATTGAAGTCATTTTTGCTACTAGAGCAAAAATCTTATCAGAGTCAATATCTTTTTGATTGCCTCTAATGTTTGTCACTTGTGGTACAAGTTGGCTATGTGATATACATATAAGATACTTACATTGCAAGTTAGACACATGTCTTGCAAGTTGGACACATATTGGAGGTCTTATAGAATATTGCTACATATCTCTTATTTAGATAGTATATGTAGAGATAAGAATGATGTCTTCATTCTTGTCAATTCCTATCTTGCTTCTAGTTTAGTTTGAAGAGTCTCTAATTTTCTAGTTTTTGGCAATAGCCACTCCAATTTCTTCTTATATATATATTATCATCTTTCTTTAATATACAACTTCCATGACTTTTTGTCCTTCTCTTTGGTTGAATACTCTTTCTCATAGAAATCTTTCTTGCCATAATATCTATATTTGACATCATTTTTGTGATTATAAAAACATCCTCCATGATTATGAATATGAGATTATGACTTAGATTTGACACTTGTTGCTAAAGCCTCCTTTGAGATAGATCTTGCATTCTTATTATAAGAAATTGTTGTGATAGCTAAGTTGTGACTATTTGCAAAGTCAATTTGGTAAAGGTGCAAGTTTCTAGTAACACTTCAATTGTACTAAATGTTTTTGTAAGACTTTCCAATAACTCTATTTCAAAGTGTATATCTGATTTTTTTTGCTAATTGATATAAGTTGCCTAGTTATCTCTTATAGCTTGCTTATTTATGTAATAATGCTATCACCTTTATTCATTAACACAATTTAAAATCCACAAATCAAGTATAATAGGTTTGAAGTGTCTTCCACCTAGTACATTATGTCAAGATGTTTCTATGTGATTTTTATGCTTTCAACCTTACTTGTAGTAATAAATTCTATACTTTAAAAATAAAAGAAAATTGCAAACAGTGCTATGAAATTTTTATCTTCATATTTGTGTAATTTTTTAGATCTATGGGTAACTCAATAGATTTCTTGTACTTCTTGCAAACCACTTTCCATTAATCCTTATTCATATAATGAATATAGTCCTCTCATTCTAGAGATACTAATTGGTTCTATCAAATTTGTCTATATTACAATACTCTATTGCTATTTTTTTAAAGAAATGATCCAATACGAGAAAAATAATAAAAAAAATTAAAAAGTGATTAGAAATGGAGTCTAAGTGAGGCTTAAAACCTACTTATAGTATTTTTTTTTAATATTTATAAAAAAATTTAATAGATAAAATAAAAATATAAAGCATTATGCCACAAATGCTAAACAAATATTTCAAATCCAAACTTTCAAAAATTGAACAATTTATAGCAATTTAGAATCAATGATGTCAACAATAAATAAATAAATTAATAAGTAAACAACATCAAAACTTTGTGAAGTACTTGGATTCTCTAGTTTGATTAGAATTGACTTTGGCATTTCTTCTAAGAGTTTTCAAAGTTCTTCATTGGAATTGTTAGAGCTAAGCCTTCAACTTGTTGAAGAAGTCTACTCTTGTTTGCACACATTCCTGCCACACTCCATATTCTTAGCATAGTTTCTTGTATTTTTAATGTCCCTTCCAACTATTGCTTCTTTACTTTAGTGTTTTACTAAACTCCATCAACTTGTGTTGTTTGTTCTAGTAACCTTTGGTGCAATTCCAAGGCCTCTAGCTAATTTAGGAGCTAATTTATTGTTTATCTTTTAGAGTAAGTTTAGGTTCTTACTCTCAAAGATAAACAATAAATTGCACATTGTTTTGTAATAAACTAATGTGGATTTTTATACATTGGGATTTGAAATTCTTCTTGAACTAATTAACAATAATAATAATAAAAAAAAACTCTTCTAAACTTCTTAAACATAAAGCAATCTATTTTTAATAATTGATAAACATCCAACTTTGACTTTTTACCTTGAATAAGGTATCCCATCAGACTTTAATGTACTAAGATATCTAATTATTTATAAATTCTATTTATTTATTCCATCTTCTATTACAACTGTATTCACACAAAACAAGGTTACAAGTCATTAGGAAACATTAATAAAAAATAAAAAAAACTTCTTTATTACTTTCATCAACATTATCAATTTATACAAATGAAATTAATTTTGTCACTAAAAATATAGTTGTGCACATTCTTTGAACTTAAATATGATGCATGTTACATCCTAATCTATTAAAAACAAACAGAAAACCATTCTTTCATTAGTTGTTTGTCGTGGTCATTTTAATTTTTCAAAACCATGTAAAAAATATTTCATTACAAAAAGCAGGAGGCAAAAGAATAAAACATGAATTAATTAAAAAAACAATATTAAATCTGATTCCAACCCTAAATCATGTAGAAACCACTCAATGTAAAATAAAGATTCTGACATTATTGAATCTACATCATTAAATTGTACATAATGTGTATCAAATATGTTAACAAATCATGTACTGAGGTGGAGAACGACCTCACTAGAACACGAGAGTTCGAATTTTTCTATACTAAATCAGCTTTTGCGGTGCAGGGAGAAGAGGTTTTGGTGCTGCGAGCCATGTCGCAATTCCCCTTCGGCGTGCCAATTTCTGTGACGCAGCAAAGCAGTATTCACGACGTGTTCGTTGTCGCCGAGTCTGGTTCAGCACAGCAGCAGTAAAACATTGTACGAGTGCGTGTCTGTGGATTCCGGAGCAGCAGCAGTCTCGGGTGACATAAAATTAGGTTTCGAATCCGGTGGCGACTTCTAGTGCTTGCGATGTCTGGTGCTTCTGCGAGATGCGCATTGTGATGCTTTCGAGTCGTCGTTGGAGAATTGTAAAACAACTTCCGCTTGTAAGTTTCGGGATCTTTCCCTTTTGGTTTGTTCGGCTCTTGGAAACATTGCCCGCTAATCGTCAGCTGGTGAACTTGAAAAGTTTGCCCTCGGCTTTGTGTGGATGCCAAAAAGATGTTCGTCCTTTCCGCATTCTTCCCTGCGTCCACGTGATGTGTAGAGTGTTGGACAGAAATCGCGTGTGTTGATTCTACAATTTTAAAATGCTTTTTAGTTTTAAATTCTATTGAATTGGTGACTGCCGAATTGAGGTTACACGTGCAATCCTTTTTTGTAGTGAGGTATTCAAATCTAGTGTGCCTCAAGCCGTACTCATTTTGTTTCACAAGATTTCGGAGACGTGATCTAGGAACTATTATCTATTGCTCAGCGTACAATTTTTTATTTTCCTGCAGAAATGCTAATGGCATTCGTTGTTTGTGAATAAATACGTCGTTCCGCTTATCAATTTATGACCAAATGGACTTTTCTCTCTTTGAACTGAGTATTACAATAATGCTCTATACTTAACCGGTATTTCTGAGTTTGCAAATGCGATTACTTCAAGCATCGCTAAGGCGAGACACTAATTTCGTACAAGCTTGGAGGTCCGGAACCGTGTTTATATGTCACTGTCATGTCTCGAATCGCGCCATTTTCATTAATGGCAGGTTGTTTATACAGTTGAAAGTCGACCTTTTTATTTTCCTATACTCATTCCGAACTGGATTGACTCTTGTGGTTTTATTCTCAATTTTATGCTATTTTATTTGGTGTGTTTGTCAAACTGGAGAACGGAGATGCGTGAACACCTTGAGGTTTTTAAACTCATCTCTGAATCGGAGCAATGGACCCAGCTCTCTTCTCAGCTGGTAATCTGTTCGCTGGTGACTCGGATTCAGGTAGGACGATAGATTCACTTCTCTTTCCATTCAATTGATTCCCATTAGATCATGGAATCGCCCTGCCTTCTCCAGGTTTTGGTGAATTTTATTCTCAATCTGAAACAAAGCATGCTTAGTTTACAGACACTATTTATTTCAGTGAACTCGATTTTAAATCCGAACAATAAATGCATGTGGTTTGCAGATGATTCTGCTGATTCAGCTGGTGATAGTGCGTTTGTCGAAAGAGATCATGAATTTCATGGCATGGTACTTGCTGATTTTGTGATCATCTGGTTATATCCTCGTATGGAACTGATAAGAATTCGACAGTTCTTATTTGATTGAAACAGAAATGTGGAATTTTCATGAACGCCGTTGAAAAAAAACATAAGAAACAAGTGTTCTCTCTTCTTAAAGTAGTGTTTATTGATGAGTCCACCTGTCGTATGTCGTATGGGCTGTAAATGATCTCGAGGATCCGTGCGTTTTTGAATATTATCTTAGACGTGAGAAATGCTTTTCTTTCACGTGAGTGGGTCTGCTTGGTTGCGTCCACATGCATTTATTGTTCGTGTTCGATGTAATTGAAAACAGACACTGAAGATTCGGGAATTTTCTTTCCACCAAGTTAATGCCAATTTATTGTGGCCTGGAACTTGTATTTTTGCGGAATGGCTGATCAAGCATTCAACCCTGCTTTCTGGCCGTCGAATTTTGGAACTTGGAAGGTGTCTTCTTTGCCAACGGTCTCCTCCATTTTTGAGTAATTGTTTTACTATTATTTTATTTTTTAAAATGATTAAGGAATTTCGACTTGACTGTTTTGTATGACTATTGTTTAGGTTTTTGGTTGCTTATGTGCTGCTTTTCTAGTTTACAAACTGCAATACTTTGATCGTACAGTGGAACTGGGGCGCTAACCATTTTTTTGAGGAAGACTTACGACCTCGACATCACCACCTCCGACTATGATGATGAGGACATAGAAAGAAATATTCACTGCAACCATAGAGCCAACGACGTATCGGTCTCTCCTCACATTCGCCGTAAGAGTCACGTTGCTCACTTACCTTGAAGCTCTTCAGGTCATTGTTCTTTATATTGGCAGAAATTCATTTAGATTAGAGATCAACCTTTAGTTATTTTCTTTACTTGCTTTGGGATTGTGGCAATAGACGGATGTGAGGTTTTAATCGTTCTAAAGTTAATCCCTGATAACTTCTGGTTATGTGACTTACTGAGTGATTGATGTTCTCAGAAATTTTGTCAATTAGGTCTTGTTACGTTCATAAGTGCTTTTCTTGCTCCTGGCTTTACACTGTTGGTTTGCTAGGTCTTTGGGTGGTCTTTCTAAGTGCTGATGCTGTATGATATATATCAGATACATGGGGCGACAAATTTCCAATCGAATGTCCAGATTGGGACTTGATAATTGCGAGTGATATCCTGCTTTGTGAGCCCCGAATCCTGAGCTTGTGAATCATTCCTAATCGTAGTTTTGTACTCAAAGTTAGAGCTCATACTGAAACTATATTAATATTTCAGCTGTGGACTGAAATGTTTTGGAGTGGTCAAAGAGGTTGTGGCTTAGCCCCAAGTGCTACGTGCTTTACGAGTATTTTAAAGAAGTGGGGTCATCTTTTGAACCTGACTTTTAATTGGAGAATAGAATTATGTTCTATATATCTCAGGAATTGATAATGTTAGCGATAGTAAGTGATCCGTGTTGTTGTTCATTATTACAGATGTAAAGCAATACGCAAATCTCGTGAAGACACTGGTCTTTTTACTACAAACATGGAAACCAAAGGCAGTTGGAGTGGAAGACCTATCACCTGATTCAAGTGGAACTACCGATGGCGTTCCACACGCCCGTCACCATCTTGATTTAAATTTGGGAGAAGAAATGCTGAACGATAGAAGGAATAATGTAACCAATGTGCCTTTGTTTCTCCCTAAACCATGCTTCCTTATGAGTTGGAGAAGGCGAATACCCAAAGATGATGAAGATCAATTCTTTCATGGGTGTAGAGCTGCAGGTTTGTGTGTAGCTGATTACGGGGCACGGGTTTACTGCATCTACCCACGGCACGAAGTAGAATAAATTTTCATGGTTTGGTCACTTAGACGTGTATGAGAGATGTTCATTTCACGTTTCGTCTCACCTTTTGCAGTTTTCCATAACATGTAGGAGCTATATTTATGTGGGCACTTGAGACCTTACTGCAGCTTTAGTAGTGAAGGTTTATTACATTTCAGGGCATGTCATTATGATCGAGAAAACGTTTTATGAATGTGATCGTCCCTAACGGAGACATCACCTTTTTGAGATGGTCTACTAAATATCATGACGTGTTTATTACCTCCGCTTTTACGTTTTCGGTTCGTCATTAGCAGGAACTATGATGTTATGGGTCTTGACTCAATTTTTTAAAAATCATCGGAAGTGATACTAAGATTGTCTATTCGAGTGCTGAACGTGGGATATGTACGGCATGAGAAGGACGTGGTACTTGGGAAATGTAAGGAAGAGGAAACCCGGCTAACCTGTACCCTGTACAAAGTCCACCCACTCTAGTACTTAATTTCTCGTATTAAATTGCATGAGCAGGTACATACCCTCTATATTATTTTTCTCCTGTTCTCGTTTCCGTGCAGCTATACTTATTCTAATTTGCCCTGTTATACTTCCATTGACATTGGGAGAGTACTATACCAGATGCGTAGTTAGCGGAAAGGAAACAGAATCTTCTGCTTCGAATTTCAGAACAGCGTTTCTTAGGGGTCGACTGTCTCCCTTTAAATTTCTTGTTCGAGTGGAAGTCTGGTGTGTAGACATTGAGGACTTGCGGCTCTAATTCTGTGAGATACATGGTATGTGGTTGTAGAGTAACTTGGAACCCCCGGGGAGAGTTAGACACATGCTTATATGAACTACTGGTCTTGTTGTTATTTCTTAGCAACCGCCAGCATCTTGGTTTTCTTCAGTACAGCACCGTCTTTCAGTAAAGTAGACTCATGCAAGAAAGCGTTGTTACAGTCCTACCTTGCACATTTATTGTTTCTGAACCAGTTACTTCTTCCTGGGTTCATCCTTTGTCTTCGTGGTTATTATGCAGACCTGTTGTTCACGGATTGTGTTCTGTTGTGATTTAATGTCCTTTCTTATTCTGGGGTACAATTATGTCTAGTACGGTTGCTAGGTCGCGTCACTATTTAGTCTTCTTTTGAAATTCAGTTGCAGGGTAGTGCTATATTCTTTTAGACTATCATGCTTTAGTGTCATTGGAGGAGCCATCTTCACCTGCGTCCGTGCACAGCATGAAGCCGATCACAGTGGACAAGTCTACAGTGCTTTTACATGGTGAGTCACTGTGCAAGCTGGTTAATATTGACTAATTCAGGAGGCTGCCTAGGAATCCCATTCGTTGCCGTTTGCTCTTCTCATGCTTGCATTCTACATAATGATCTGTCTCTTGCTTCAAGAGAGGACGCTGAACATCATCACTTCTGCAACAATCTTAAGAGTACTTGCATAGAGACTTAAGTAGGTAACTAATTATGATTTCCTAAACCATCTTATCCAAACGTTGATGTTTTACTGGACGTAGATCATAATTAGGGTAGTCGTCATGCTTGTTTTTGTGTTACTTGTACTTTAGTGATGGCTCTTGTTACAGTTTTGTAAGTCTAGAACACTGAGGAAGTCGACTGTTCTTATGCATAAGTTGTCACAGTAAGTTGTTTATGTGATTGGGTTCTGTTTATTTTTTGTATATGTATATATAATACGTTATTTGGAATATCTTCTTAAGTTGCACTCATTAGCACTTGTTTAGCTCAAGTGTTCTTAAAAGTTTTTGATTTTTTGATTTTTTTTGCATTAATAAGTTGCCTTGAATTTTTGAAACAAGAATAAAAAGATATCTAGATTATAATTTGCAAAATTTAGAAATCCTAAAACTAATCGAATTAAAATTTAAAGCATATATTATGTTAAAACTATATTCAAAAAATATGTTTACATCATCAACAACTTGAGAAGTATATATTGACTAGGAATACAAAGAAAGAAATTGTAGAATCATTTTTGCAAGAAAGAACTTTTCGATTTAAAATCATCACAAATTGGAAAAGAAAATAGAAAAAAAGTAGGTAATGTACATTTTTATCATGACAATGCAACTTGTACTTTGAGCTCAAGTTACTTACTTTTGAAATCAAGAAGTTCTTAGAAATACCTTCGTTATCTTTCTGAACAATTTTTTTTTTTATTAATATATTTGTTAAGATTAGTTTTCTTCAAAAAATCAATAAGATCCTAGAAGAACTTTTACAACTACCAACAAATTCTTAGTCCATTGATAGCATTTGCAATAAAGATAAAAGAAGTTAAAATTGTAATAAAAACATTACATTATCAATTATGACTACTTTTTTAGAGTAGCTTCAGCTTCAATTTTTAAATATTAGATTTTTTTTTAACTATTGAAATTTAATTTTTAAAAATTTGATAATAATAGAAGAAAAAATAAATTAGGAAGAAAAAATACTTCAAAAAGTACTTTCTTTGTGAAGAACTAACAATATCATAGACAATAATATTCTTTACAATAACACATTACAATCTTCTTTTATAAGAAGTTATTAAAAATTATAAAAACTTTCTATTATAGAACTCTAATTGGTATATATATATATATATATATATATATATATATATATCTAATGATTTTTTAAAATAAATTATAAATGATGTTATGGATACTTAGGATATTATAAATAAGTTTAATTTCAATTAAGTCTTTTAAAAGAAATTTATTTTTTTTAGGCTTAGATAAAAAAAAATATTAGATCTTACTAGATAAGAAAGTTTTTTTTTTTTTTTTTTTTTTTTTTTTAAAAAAAAAAATAGATCTTAATTGATATAAAATAATTTATTAAGTTACAAGCAAAGAATTTAAGGAAATAATCTCACAAAAAAAAAAATTAATGAGATTGCAATAATTTCATGTAAATGATAAGGCTAATTTTTCTATAGAAGTTTTGTACATATCCTATCTTCAAGATGTATGTTTGTGTGTATATATATATATATATATATATATATATGCAAGAGCCTATAGACATTGTATGACAAATTTATTTCAAAAGCTTCTATTTACATATCTTTTTAATATGTTGTGGTTTTATTTTGCAAGTTGCATATATGCATATATGAAGTGTATTTTTATAATTTTGTTAAATCTGAAATTTAATATAAAATTTTAATAAATTATCTTAGCCAAATTCATAAATTACTATTTATCTCAAAACTTTATTTTTTTCTTGTATATTATTATTATTATTATTATTTTATTACTTATCATGATTATGAAATATATTAAAATTCACTTTTTTAAATTAATTATATTAGACAAAAAACCACTGAAAATATTCTTACAAATTAGAATATTAAAACTTTATTCCTCCCCAAAAGATATAGAACCATTTCTGAAAATCTCAAACAAAATTAAGTTATTTATATAATAAAAAAACAAAAAAAATGCTATTGTAATGTAACATATATTAAATAATTGAGTTTTTTTTAATACATATAAATATAAAATTATTATTCTTTATAAACAACAAATTCTTTTAGAATCATGCTAGTCTTAAAATAAAATTGGTGATTGTTTAAAAGTATAAAAAAGAGATATGAAAGAGAATGACAAGCAATTTTTATATTTGACTATTTTTATGTTTTTATCTTAGAGAAGCTTTTCAGATCATCTTAAATTTTCTTTGGATTTTGCTTTGTACAAGAATTTTACTTCTACCTAAGAATGATTTTTAAATAACCTCTAAAAAAAACTCTAAATGACTTCTATATAATCTTGTAGATAATAGAAGGAATTGTATGTGTCCATTATTTTTCTTCTCGTTATTTAATTTTATTATAATTTATTCCATCAATAACCAAATAAATAAAATTAAGGACACATAATTAAATCTTTGTTGTTTATGTAGTACCATCGAAATTGCTGTTTATAGATGATAAATAAGAGTTTTATGTAGTCTAAATTAGTTAAAAGATAGACTAAGGAAGGTTAAGAATGTAGATGATTATGATAATTTTTATCCATCTTTAAGTATTAAAGAAAACTTTTGTCACTAAAACTTACTCAAATCTTGGAAATGCCAACAAGCTACAGATGTCTTGTGTGAACCTTGTCTTATTTATTACTTTGAGCTTGTAATGATTTTTATTTTATTTTATTTTAATTTTAATAGTAAAATCTGTTTACAATATGTATTGGATGCCATGAGATGAATACAAGATGTAGTCCTACATTGACTCTAGAATCTAGGTAAAAGACAAAACATTCTTTTCCTAGAGATAGGTTGCTAAAATTTATTCTATTGTTAAGATTTGATGGCTTATGACAATTGTAGCACAAAACTCAAATTGTAAGCATTGATTTAATACTTTACATAATAAAAATGGAATTGTTGCTATTTAAATGGTTCTTGGATATTCATTCTTTAAGTTTTAAAAATCTTAAGCAAGAACAACATACATATTTTTTATAAGATTATGTGATGAAAACACAAGAAATCTTATTACACTGTAATTCAACATAAAGTAATAAATTGTTAACACATCATATGTTACTTGTTAACACTTTGCAACACTGCACCAAAATCTGAAAACAAAATAAAGTTCTCGACTAACATTACAACTAGAAATGTGGTTACACAACACAAAGCGAACTGAACATCAACAATGAAACAAAACGGTTTATCAAGCACCTTCAATTTTAACAACAACAAAATGCTTTAATAGAATGTGCAGAGATTTGCACCAACAGGAGTTGGTTCCATGTTTACAATAACATCAGAGATATCAACATCCTTCAACAATGAGTGATTTCTACCTACATTTTGTACTCCTTTAATACACTTACAGTGGGCGTTTCCAGGATTCAGGCAAGTCCTTAATCACGAGGGAGAGTGAAGAGGGTCCCTTGCAGCCACGAGCTCTCACTCTTCTTCCGTTGTCTCATGCTTTGTAACTCAAGCGTGCGTTGCTCAAGTTGTAGCTGAATCTGTTTCCACAGTTTGTTGCTTCTGAATGAATGCCAAGTCTTGCTCAAAACTTCTTTTTTTGTGTTTTTAGTGTTTTTTTATGGATCTATCGTCTGTCAAAATATCATTTTGTTTTAGGGGGTCGGAAACCAAGAAGGCAATGTTAGTGAGGATTGTTGTCAGTAGCTCTCGTCTTGTGGCTTGTTTTTCATGAGGACAATGTAGACTATGGCTGCCTCTCGTGGCATTGGCATTGGGACAATGAATGAATCACACAGCACTGCGGTCTGGTTGTGTGGTTTGGCTCTCACAACACTCCTTTTGCATTCAACTCAATTAGAATGGAAGAGTGTCTTTAAATAGTTTCTTCGTGGGCGAGACCGTGATGTTGGATTTAGGGAAGGTCGCTGGGAGGGTGGCGTTCTCGAAATTGTCATCTCACTGACCATCGTGCCCGAATTTGACGATGATTTGATTGCTCCCTGCCTCGGAATGTGGGTTTTGTGACGACTCGAATGCCATTCTGTGTCGTGTCTGGGTGCAGATCGTCAAGAAACTCGTCTCGCAGATCCTACGACCTCTCGATACAATGACTGGAATCCGGAGAGCTCAGTTCTGAGTGTGTTTGAATCTTGCATGGACAAATGCATCTTCCGTCACGAGACTAATGCGGAAAGAAGCACAGTCCGACTCGCGAAGAACTGTAATATCTGAACTGGTTGCATCCTAGTACCCTAGCTAAAACATTTTATGAAGCATTTCAACAACTCGACATGTAGAGGACCCAAGTATCCGAGTCGACAGAAAATTCTCTGTTAGTATGCCTCGTCATGTGCCGTATCGCAGATTTGCAATTGCTAATGGTGTTAGGGTTTTTTTTACAAGTGAACGTGATCTCAAATTTTGAATTGTCCTGGTTGTCTACCATAATCTGACCTCAACTAATTCTGGTCTCAGATTTTGCTACCAACATTTTACTCCGCCAAACTCTCTCACGAAAACGCCAAGCAGCGAGCGAAATAGCCGGGGACCCACTTGGGGGACCACATCGCTTGTACAGCTTACACAAACCCAATGGTGAGTGGTGAATCCCCCAATGGTTGGCATTTTCATTCCATAACTAGCGGTTGGTGCCTGCACGCTTGTTGCCAATTTAGCCAACAAGCACAACAGTCAGGGGGAGTGGCCAGAGGATCCCAAATCACCGGAAAATCTGTTAAGAATCTGTTTAAAAAGATCTCTCAGAGGCTCCAAACATATCTGCACGGGCTTTGGAAAGCCTCACTTGTTTGTGCTGATCCCTATACTACAGAACACGAGAGTAAATTTCCTCCAAGAATAAAGCTTAGACTGTTGGAGGTCCAGTAGGTTCGGACAAATCTAGGGAGTTCCGCTGTGCTTGGACTCTTCTCCCTGTTTGTCTGTGCAGCCGTTTTGACAGCAGCTGTCACTGACAAGCTCCTATTCCACGCCTGGTGACACCTCTCATGCGATCACGTTGTTCGATGAGCAAACATCGTTAACGGAAAGTATACTTTGATTTTATCTTTGCAAGTTCTTCGATTGTATCAAGATATGGTGGGGAAATTGTGAAGTTCTACAGGTCTGTCTTTCGGTAAAACTTGTGAGATTTTAGTTAAATTATGAAACTCAACATGAACATAGCCCGATTATTGTTCAATTCAATTGGAATTTGATCGAAATCGTTCGACCGTCCGACTCAGTGACTCCAGAAGCCGAAGATTAAAATATCAAAACACCTCTTTTTTTTCTGCAGACACGCATAGAATAGTTTTGGTTATAGAATAATATGCTCTCAGTCAGCCATGGATCTCCATTACAGATTGCAACAGCGATTCATTACACTATTCTTCAAAGGGGAGGCAGCGAGTTAGAGTTTGCATGTTGAGATGCTTTAGTTACCCTCTTCCACAGCTGAGTAGACGGCGTAACATGGGAGTCCCAACACCGAAGGATAGCTCAGAGAAATGGACAACTGTTGAGCCAGCCTGCTGCACAGAAGTTGAAATTCTTCCGACAGGAATGAAACAACTATATCGTCATTACTGGAAACTACAAGTCAGGTATTAGAAATACCTAGAAATTATCTATACATCTTATTATTCTCGTATTTGTGATACAGTGAGCTTCGATGTATCATTTATCAAGACCATCTTATTAAGCCGTTTTACAATATAAGGCAAAAAAATAAAATAAAAATAGAAGAAAAACCTGAATATTAACATCTGAATTAGCTGCTCATGTTGTTATTACTGAACCTTCTCTGTGTTACCCTTCTCTACTTATGGTCGAGGATGACGCTTTTCTCCACTCTTGGTGTCGCTGAAGCCACCAATGGCTTAAGACGGGAGCAAACAACTCCCGGAGCCTCGTCCACATCGATGTCCTCGCCTCTGATGCCAGGTGGGGGAGACCAACTGAAGCATTGCAGTAGGTTACCGAGCATGAGCATCACAGTGGGGAAAGCGAATTTTTGTCCTGGGCACGCTCTTCGGCCCGCGGAGAATGGGATGCTCTCGCAATTCTGAGCCATCACTTGCATTGATGGCAAGGTTTTGAACCTCTTCGGCTGGAACTCATTTGGGTTTGTATAAACCTTGGGATCTCGATGTATGGCGTGTATATTTACATAGGCTGTTGTTTTTGCAGGGATTCGGCACCCACCTAGAGTGCATTCTTGGCTGCTGTAGTGGGGAATGGCCAAGGGAGATGGTGGGTGAAGCCGCAAGGTTTCTCTTACCACGCAGTCTAAGAATGGCAGTTTGTCACAATCGGACAGCTCCACTAGCCTGTCTCGACCCACCACTGCATCCAATTCAGCTTGCACCTCTTGCAAATAGTGGGGATGTCGGAGTAGCTCGGTCATGCCCCACTCCACGGCAGTGGATGCACTGTCGCTGCCCCCCACAATCAGGTCCTGCATCACCACAATCCGGATACAACTGAGGTTTAGGAAATAGTCACATGATTTTTCTCCTTTTTCTTCTTCTTCTTCTCAGATTCTCAACTTTCAACTTCATTCAAAACCAGCATGGGCTATAATAATCCGGGCAAGTGAATCCCACAAATTAGATACATGCTTCAAGAACTGGCTGAACCCACTGCGACGAGCACGATACCCTTTCTTTGCTCTACTTGTCTGTAAATATGCAGAATCTTTAATATCTTGCCTAGCAGAACAATGCCGGAAAGATTCCTAACTGAACTCTATCTCTGGCTCCTCCTCTAATTCAAGAAGTCTGCTAAAATCAACTAAAGTAATTTTTACATTTCTAAACTTTTGACCAAAAAAGTATATCCAGCGGCAACGCTAGAGCCATTTGATGGACCTCCAGATTACTTGAACGCTGCTTGAACGCCACGAAAGAACCGACCAAGACTGTGTATAGTGTATTTGGAACGCTGCTGGTGGGAACCTAAGACCAAGTTACAGGAGGATTTAAAACCTGGTCGCTCAAAGCTAACGAGAGGAAGGAAAAATCTTACAATAGCAACAGCCATGATATTCTCATCGGACAAAGTGCTGTATTTGGCCACTAAAGCAGCGATGAAGTCTACCCGCCTGTCCTCCTGCTTGGAGAACCCTTCCGCACTATGGTGCATCTTCCGGTACTGATGAATGATCGGAAGAAGGAGACCTTCTTGATGCGGTTTCAAGCGCTGCAAGTCTCCCTCCACTCCTGCAAGTTCAAACCAATGCAAAGTTGAGACCACCAGTGGTGTGTTTGGCATAGCAGTGCATCCTGCACATTGTGTGTGTGTATGTGTAGCCGGCGTTACGACATAATTGATACGATAGTGGTACAGTTGAAGAGGGATCTGTGTTTTTTGTTAACCTTGTAGATCCAACCATCTTAGCGCGGGTATGTAGTCGCCGACATTGAACAGTCCCACCAGTCTTGTTGCAGATTTGACAAAGAACTTGAAGTTCTCAACTTCTTTTGGCGTGGCATTCACCGTCCCGGAGTCTCCAAACAGGCTCTGACTGAAAATGATTCGCCCCATCAAGTTCAGATTCGCTTTGAACACCATGGAGGTTATGTTGATGAGTCCTTCGGTCGCGTGGGGACGATCACCGAGTCTTTCACTCTCTGAACGACGCAAAACGTCGGCCATTAGGAATCGGATTTCCTCCATCCTCACCGGCGCTAGCTTCTTCACGTTTGTCGAGGAGAGCAGCTCAGCGCTGTAGATAAGTCGCATCTCTGTAAATTTTTCTCCGCTGGAAAACACCACGCTACTGTAGTCGTATCCGAAGTGTTTGCCAGTGGCCAGCCGCGGCCGGGATGAGAAATTGTTGTCTTGACTCTTGAAGAACTCCTTGGCTGTTGTAGAGTCGGATATGACGACAGTTGGACGCGAACCCATTCGCAGGAACATGAGTGCACCATACTTGGCAGCTAAAGCGGCAAACCTTCGACACGCAGGAATGTTTCTAGGCCCCAACGAGTAGAGCGATCCCACAACTGGCCATCCAGTTGGCCCTGGGGGCAGAGACTTCTCACCAAACCAGCATCTTCTCATCACTCCCACCAGAAACAGCAATGCTGCGGCCAAACAAACCAAAGTTGATCCTGTAACTGGAACGATCTTCGACTCCATCTTGTGAATCCTTCCTAAGATCCACAATTGTCAGTGGTGTATCTGATACACCCTTGAACACGCTTCTCGCGATTCTGTGGAGTGATTGAAGCGTTCTGGAGGATTCTGTTGAAATGCTACCAATGGCAGAAAAAGAGAGGTGCAAGTGAGTAACGCGTTTAACAGAAAGAGGGAAGTTGAAGGCGCTTGAAAATATTTATTACAAGACTCCAGTAATCGTCGTTCAATATGAATCTAAGGGAAATGAAGGTCTCCGAGGTAATCCTTTAACGCTGAAAGCGGCTAGTTTTGGGGAACAGTTGTGCTGGCCAATCTGGCAAGGTACGACCCAATAGATGCACCGGACCAGATCAACCCAGTCGGTGCGCGTACACGCTCACAGATGAAACAAATGGGCTCTGTGGTTGAATAACAGAATCATAACCAGCGCTCACACCAGTCCACGATCAGGTAACGAACCCTCTGGACAGAAGTGGGAGGAATGTGTGAGCCGACCTGCAAAACCTTCTTCACTAGAGGACGCTCTTCAGTGCAGGGCTGCGATCTAAGCTAATGACGACCCGAGCTTGACGCATTCGTCTCGCGTGTCGACGAGCGCAGCAGCAGCAGTTACAAAAAGCAAGTGACCTCCCCGCTGCCTCGTACGAATCATGCTTGGCTCTTGTGATTGCTACAACAACGGATGTGACCCTGGTCGACAGTGATTGTGTCATCAACTTCAACGCTTGCCAGCTTTTATGCCAACTCGACCTGGTCTGGTCCGTCATCAATACCGACTTCAACAGCAAGTAAAGCATACTCTCTCGGTCAGGATTCCCACCTCTCCCTGTTCAAACGATTTTAATTCCTGCGTTTAGCTTGCACGATGGCTCTCATTCTTCAAAGTTGCCCCCAATTCCGGGGATCTTTTTATGCTGCTCCACAGTCCGGATTACTCATGCCGGGGAGGGCACTATTTCCGGAATCATCGTCTGTCTCCACGTCTGTATGCACACCTTTTGATGTTCATGGGGTTTCCTCAGTTGGGTCTACAAATCGACTCACTTGTAATACTCCCGAGATGTCCCTGAGTTCCGTGAGCAGTGATTAAGATAGAGCATTCCTCTGAAGTGAATACTGTCCGCAACAGGCGCAGCGTCACCCCTGAGTGTACAGTCCAACGAGGAGGTCCAAGCCTGGTATCCAGTCCATCCGTCTAGTCTCTCGCTCGCCTAGACTTTGTTTTCTGACCGCCCCCATTGCTTGTCGTTCTCTCACAGTTGCAACCGTGTTGAATATTCCCTTATTTTTCAGCGTCTTATATATATATATATACATATACATACATAGTACAGCGTCCTGTCCAGCCTTTATCTTATAATAATCATGCTATAACCAACGGACCCTGGTGTCATCAAAACCCCAAGGTCATAATTCCCCCTCAATATCCCAGTCCAAGCATGCTCTATTTCGTGCTCATATCCCTTTACCATGTGACCGCTGCCACCCAATCTCATGTACCACCCACTATTTCCCAAGTTTTTAATTCTTCCTCAACCCACTCGAGACAGGTGGACAAACAGCCCAATCTATTTTAAAAAAAAAAAAAAAAAAAAAAAAACTGTTTCAGTGTAGGGACCTGAAATTTGGGGACTCCACTGAAATTTTCTGATCGGATTAATATGTCTTTTTTATGACCATGTATAAATATAAATATATAACTATATAACTATATAATTATATTCTTTCATTCTTCTCTTCCGTAATGCAGTTTTACTTCTGAGGACTTGATCATCACCGCTCCATGCCATTGCTTCTGCAACTGAGTCTCGTTTGGCACACCTTTGACTTGTGTTCGTCTGCTCCCCATATTGAATAGGACCTAAAGTCCCTCGTGTAGGGAATCCTCGAGGATAATGCAAAGCCAACCACAGACAAAGTCATGCACTCGCCTCACCATAGGAAAAAAAATAAATGAATGTAACTGCAGGAGGATTGGATTCTTTTTTTTTACCAACTATATCATAGCGTTGTCTACGGGCATGATCATGATCATCGTCTTCGTCTTCGTCGACGACGACGTAGTAGTATCAGTTGTAACAGTAATCGTAGTAACAGCGCCTGCAGTAATCTTAGTAACTCTCTACCACCTTCTTCTTCGTCTGCTCTTGACTCTCTCTCCCCCCTCCCTCCTCCAACGCTGACTGAGCTAGAGCTTGTGGGATCGTGATTCGCGACAGCATCTTGAGAGGAAATAATAAGAATAAGAATAAGAAGCCGCATCAGGAGCAGCAGCAGAAGTGGGGGAAATGCATGAATTCCCTGCTGGGGGACTGCTCGCGTGGAAGAGCCGGAGAATGCCCGACCAACACCCGTGAAACCGTGCAACAAGGACCGACCACGAAGCATGGAAGGGAGTAAGCCAGTTTTTATTATTATTATTATTATTGGGGGAGGGCACTGGGTTGGAAGTTTCAAACCTTGTGGGGGAGAACTCCAAAGCCTCGGAAGCCGCACATGCAAAAAAACACACACATGCTGTTGCTTCCATGATGCAGGTTGCGACAAGGAAAAGAGGGTTGGGTTTCGTTGCTGGTGTAAGATTCCTTCAGGAATCTGTCTTGTAATTGCTCCGACAAGCCACCACAAGCGTACAAGTTGCGAGAAGGGTCTTGTTTGTGAGAAGAAAACAATGGGGAAAGAAGCAGGAGAAGAAGGAAAAATTCCAACAACAACAACAACACCTGAATTTGGCTCCTCCACAGAATGACAAACGGTATCCCTCTCTTTCAGATTCCCCGGTCCGTGTTCCCTTGCATGAATCGTTCAGACAACTCAAAGGCTCATTGATGTCAGCCAGTTGGTTTCTTTTTTGTGTTTTTTTTAGAATATTGTTTTGGACATGCCGATTGCTTAGATCCCATGCTAGTTTTCATCACTTCGAATTGTGAATGGCCGAAAATTAGACATCGACATTAACGAAATCAACACACAAAGGAGACGCTACAGTGAAACTCTACGCTGCGGGATCAGCAAAACACATTGTTAATGTCATCGTTAATGACAACGTGAAATTAAAAATTAAATTAAAAAACTAAAGATTCTTTTTCTCTTCTAATTTTACTGAGCAAAACAAAAAACAAACAGCAAAGAAAACAAAAACACGAATATAATCTGAATGGAATACAATATAATTTTAAATATATCTATCCATCTATTTATGCATATATATATATATATATATATATATTTTTGAGTTCGTGTGTGCGAGAGCTCATGAATTCAAGCATTCAATCCAGTGATGTGAACAAAGTCAAAAGAAGCTCTGCAGAATAGAAGAAGAAGAAGCAGCAGAAGAAGAATGGGATTGTGTGATGGTGGGCGGAACTCCAGAGTTGCGTGCTCCAGGAACCCAATGCTTCCGTCCACTGACTCGTCCGTCCGTCCGTCCGTTCTTTCATCCATCCATCAATTCGTTCGTCCACTTCTGCGTCAGCCAGTCGGTCCATGAGACAGTGAGTCGGTCTGTCCGTCCGTCCGTCCATTCGTTCATCTGTCCGTCCGAGCGCGAGGGGAGGATGTCGCACAAGAGCAGGCAGCAGACAGGAGAGAGTTGTGGGCACAATGAGAAACCAGGGAACCACAGAACAGGAACAGAAACAGAACACAGACAGAACGGAGACAAATGTTCTGCTTTGCTCTGGATGTGCCTCTGCCAGCGTGGCAACGAATGTCATCCTCGTCCAAAAGGATGATTTTCATCCATTGTACCCTAACCTAACGTATAAATTTTGTAATTTTTTCCTATTCGTTTATTTAGTGAATGTTGTACCAAAAGAAATCCTATTCATAAGTGTTTTTGTAACATGAGTGTAGCACTAATATTTTGTTAAGTTTCTTAAGGTTGCTTGTATGTGCCATCAAGTCCCATACAAGAATTGTATCCTTTGCACATTTTGATTGGGTGGTTGGGATATAATATATTTGTACATCTCTATGAAAAGTATAAAAACATGCCAATTTGAATAGTAAATCGTTAGTTGGAAGGGCGAAGACAAACAATTTTGTGGACATAATTGACATAAATTATTTATTGCCACATGGTTACCAAAACTTTATTAGTTGATTCCATTTAGATAGTTTTTAAAAATGTGGAGGTAGCATAAAAGAATACAAAATGTTCATTTAGGATTCAATTTTAAATATTTTTTATTTTAAAAAAATGTTCTAAAACTACTTTAAAAGTAGAAATGCCACTTACACAATGTTTGAAACTAGTTGTATAAAACAAAATATACTTTAAAGTTAAGTTATTAATTAATTTTTTTACTTTTTTTCTATTTAAAATTATAAACTTTAGTTCATAAAATTCATGGGTAACCTTTATATAAAGCACTTTTACAAAATCAACAATATACACTTTATGATTTGAGCAACTAGAAGAATTTAGGAACCAAATAAAAGAAAAAAAGTTTCCAAAAGAATATAAAAGAATTCTGAATTCTTAAACTTAATAGTAATAAGAATATGGAATGTTGATGTAGATTATTTAAAAATTTCTCAAATTAAAAAATAATTTTATATTTTATAAAAATATAATAACCAATGGTATAATAATATATTAAATTTTTTCTTGTTTTGAATACATGTTTTTGTAAAATTATGCATATATATATATATATATATATATTGAAGAACATAAATCTAGAAAATAATTTTTTTAAAATTACATATTTATGTACATCAAAAAATAAAGAATAAAATAAAAAAAAGATATTTCTAAGATGGTGAAGTACTAGAACAAATATTGTCAAGTACAAAGAAACTCAAGAGTTTGGAACAAGTAGTAAAGCACAAGAAAAGTATTGAACATGGCTTTAATTTTATTTCTATATATATATATATATATATATATATTTATTGATTAGCTAGTAGAAAGACCATGTGAAAATTTTTAAATAACTTTGGGACACGTGGGTCATGTTTCTAAGGTGTAAAACACTTCTATAGTAGCTTTTTAGATGTAACAAACTTCTTGAAGAAGTTTGTATAATCATATTGTGCATCTAAGGACATCTATAGATCCAACTCATGTCTAAAAATATCTTTTTGATATGTTTTTCAAAAAGATATTTCGTACCTCAATTGTTTCTACTTATCTTTATTTGTTTGAGTGGTATAAGTAACTATGATATATAATCATACAATCCAAAAATATAACTAATTTTTTAGAGATTTTTTTTTGTTTTTTGTTTTTCTTTTAGATTAATTTATAATCATTGTTATTATTCAATTTGGTTAAGTTAATGCTGAGGAGGCACCAAAGTTTTAGAGATAAGTTTCTAGTATTTAAAATTGTGTCTGTTTTAAAACATTACTTTTTAGTTTAGTTCCAAAAATAATTCATTAACCTAAATAATGCTTTACAAAAAGCATAAAGTATTGGTTAAATTCTATTGGATAGTTTTCAAAAATTTGATAGTATGTCAAGTCACCCTTTAATCCAAATGTAAGTCCCCACATTTCAAACCAATTATAATAATATCTTTTCCCAATTATCATTGGGTTTTTCATTCTTATTATGAAGTCATTTACCACCAATTCTTTTGACATATGACAACATCAGTGCATTGATCTTAGCAGATTTAGAATTTGAATGTTGGGACTCGGATTTAAACTTTTTTTTGTCTTATCAAAGAGAAAAGATACCTAGAAATCTTGTAACGTCAAGCATATTTGTCAGTCATTATATAAAATACAGCATAAAATATATACAAATATATCACATAAAAAGAAGAGCTGTATAAACCAATCCACCAGAAAATA